AATTTCACAGAGGTTTCGTACTGAACCATGTGTACGAAACCATTTTTTCCATTTATCAAGAAGAAGTTCCATACGGAACCTTTTTTCTACGAAACCTAAAAAGGATCTGACCGTGTGCCCGTGCTCAGATCCTTTTTTGGTTCGGTGGAAAACCTATTTTTTTTACAGTGTAAGCTTCTCCGTGAATGTTTGTAATACTTAAAACGACGTTATCTGAACATAATTTCAAAAAATGACTCAAATCCGAAGTTTAGCTAAAAAGTTATTGATATACTAATGAATAGAATTGCATCAATCCAAGATTGCACTAGTCCAAACTCGGATCTTAGAATAGCCTAGGCCAATCTTGGATTGGCCTAAGTCCGAGATTGGCCTATGACATATATGTCGAGAAAACAAAAGAGGAAAAAAACGAGTTCAAGAAAAAAAATAGAAAACGACTGAGAAGGAGTAATGAACTTTAAGATTTATTCGAAGTTCTTATTGTCCCTGTCCCTTTCATTTTTCATAGCATTAGCTATTTTCTATCCGTAAGAATTATGAACAATCTATGTTTAACTTATCAATTAATGAAAATTCCGAGTAAAGCCAAAGCAGTTATAGTTAAATACATGACTATGGGTACTCTATTCGTATCTAAAAACGGATTTTTGAAAAAGCAATATCAATTAAACATCGAATTATGCATATGCAGTGGCGTAGCCAGGGGGGGCATTGGGCAATTGCCCAACGGTTAAAAAGTTATTGCCCAATAGATTTTTCAGGCAATAGCAATGGCCCAACACCGAAAAATATTGATATACATGCATGTTTAAAAACTTAGATGATGTTATTTTAACGCTGATTGTTGTTGAAATGTATTCAAATGATCGAGAAAAGTCAATTGACGATATTTTCCACCGAAGCAATGATCAAAATAATGACAATTCTATCATATTTTAACCTGAAACAAACTTATGCCCTCACTTAAAGTTGGTGATAAAGATATCAGTGTATATTTATGAATCTTGCGAGAGAACATAGAATTCTTTTGAACGCAAACGACAGACGTAGCTTAAACCGAATACTTGAACGGTATAAGTGTGAACAATACTTTCGCAATTTGATTAATAAAAATTCCAATTCGCAAAAGAAGATGTTAATGGGTGCCGTTCGAAAATTTCACTTAGGAATTAGTAGTAACAGTAATGGAATCGCATGTAAAACAATTAAGGGTATAGTCAAATTAAAATCGATTACAAAATGATTAAAAATTGACTAAAAGATGCATGATTTTAATCGTTTTGTAATCGATTTTAATCTGATTATACCCTTAATTTTTTTACATGGGATGATAATATATAGTTCAGAGAATGTACAGATAACTAAAAATATTAGCCGTTAAAAATCTTACAAGGTTGAAAGGACTCGCTAGGAATATAATATAGAGCAGCAGTCATCATTATGTGCTGGGAGATGATAAAGTGAGTTGATGTTCTTTTTGTTCTATTTATGATTAATCATGATTTTTACTGTAGAAATAAATACATAGTTATTTAGAAATAAGGAATTAATTTATGAAAAAGAGAACATGAGCAAACACGGTCATTTCTAATAGGTTAGTGAAAGATTTCCTTGAAACAACATAGATTTGGAGGTAGCAATAAACTTTTGACAACTTCCAGTTGCGGCCCGATCGATTTTCAATTGCCCAATACAGCCCATGTCTCAAAATAATTTAGCTGGGAAGCGGCACAACGCTCAAAAAATCCTAGCTACGCCACTGAGTAAGAATGTGACAAATATTTAGTGCGAAATCTGGAATCTTTAACAGCACGTTATTTGCTAGACCTTTGTCGAATTTACAAAGAGCTGTTCAGTTACGAAGTAATTTGAACGGTCTTATTGTTTGTGCAATGTCTCAAAATCTATTCAAAACGGATCTCAGTAAACATGAATTCCATTTAAAATAAACTATTATACCAAATAGTATTAGAGTGACTTCATTAAACATTTCAAATCACTATGAAAGATTTAAGTTCACTTGAAAAATTCGAAGTTCTCTTCGATGAGATCACTGTTTAACAATTAATTTCTAAAATGACTCAAATTTTAAAAAAAATCTTCACTTCTATAAGCTCAGTAATGACAAGTGAATAGAGATATCATACTAAAGTTTGATATTCATCAGTAAAGTAACTGTCATAAAGTGATTGATCGCTTGCTTTTGCTCTCATCAATCTATTCTTTGCTGCCATGGAAAGCATAATCTATTTCTTTCGATTTATACAAACGTTAATTACAATTTTCTTCTTCATCCCACCCGATATAATATAAGAATCATATACATCAATAGAGTGGGATTGCTATTCTCCAATATGTGCAGAAATATTTCATTGAATTTTATCACATTGAGGTAGGCAATGCTACTGCAGGATTATTCCGTACTAGCAAAAACATTTTCCATCGCAAAATATAAAAGGCATTAAGTATCTCGAGTATCATATAATATAAATGTTATTTGACCGCAAAAAAAAGTCAATATACTAATGATTAATTGCTGTTTATTGTAACAGAAAGGTCTATTGTTTCATTTTCGTAATGCTTTAACCAGGCAGCAACAACTTTTCTTGATTTTGACATCACTTTCTCAGTCTAAATTTCGTCTAGGCTTTGTATTTAATGACTTCAATTAATATGAAATGCATGGTTTCATGAAAACAGATTTTATTATCTAATCGTTTTTTTTATAACATAAAATAAAAGCTGATGGATAATTGTTTGAAGATATGCTTAAAACATCATGTTCCTTGAATTCACACGAGAATAAAGAACATTCATCTAACTTACTGCATCTGGTTTCTTTATATATTCTCGATTGTCACAATACGAAACATGTATTACGGATATGTAGCATACATAAGAATACAATAGAACTTGAAGAATACCATGACAGCATAATATACAAATTCTTTCCCAGCAAATAGCTTCCTATTGTACTAACATGCATCACAGAAGTAGTCCTGGAGACATCTAAGTTATTATCAATAGTTTTACAATAGATAATGAAGGCAACAAGAAAGTCATAAAGATAAATAAACTTTGATCCGATCATTTAAACAGACAGAGATCATTCTGACAGCGCGATATCACGATTGACAGCATTATTTTTTATTCATTAAGTATTAATTTTAAGTATGTGATTGTTAACCTCGTTTCCTAGCAGCATATCAAGATCGCAATTTCAAATTGTTCAAGGTCTATTGTCGACGAATGATAATGTAAATCATTTTATCGATTATCACGGTTTTGATCTAGTATTGATTGAACCCTATGATCAATAGTCACAGCTGTTTCTATTATTGAGAATAATGAACAATTGTTCGCAAAAGATACAAATGTACTTATGTCATCATCTTTAGTTAATCTATTGAATCAAAATAGTATTACAATATCAGATGTGTCTGATCACTACTGTTGAAATCTATTGATCACTTCAATATTCAAATAATCTAAACATAAGAGTACACAACACAAGAAAACTAATGTGATATTCACTATATATGACGTATATTGATATAATTTACTTATGTATATATATAAACAGTGTATTGCTTTTACTCTTCATTTGGTACTGATCATTTAATTTTGTATATAGATATATATATATATGTATATATGTGTTCAAACTCTTTCTAAAGATTATCTTAAAACCTCTTATCGATGCCTCGATTTTGCAAACGCTCATGTACTGCGATTCGCTTGGAATCAATGCAAACCTTGATGTATATTGAGTTGTGACGTCATTTATGCACGACGACCTTTCTTTTTGTCAGAAAAAAAAGAAAAATACATCTCGGTTTTTCCCGATATTCGTCTCATAAAGCATGGCAGCTATATAACTGGCATCGATATTTATCTATCCATCAGGCAAATGTGCATCGCTTTGCGGTTGACGAGCGAAAGAAGTATTTCTTTCTTTCTTTCTTTCTGTTGCTTTATGCCAAGTAGGTACGTGTAGAAATGGATAACTTTCTCTCTCTTTTTTTTCTATATTTCTTACGCTTTAGCGTCCTAGGATAAAACGACAAAAACCTTCTTTTCCTCTTATAACACATCGGCATGATTATCTTCACTGCTATACTAACAAAGACGACGAGAGCAAGCATAGGAATCCCTGATTTTCTATCATCTCCTCCTTTTTGCTGTATTTTTTTTCTTTACGCGTGTCGTATTCGTCGCTTATTTGTATCTACTAAAATATCTCTAGATCTGTTAGGGGACAGAGCGGAGCGCGTAGGCAAATGTCTCAAAACAATTACGAACACGATGGATTTTGTTTATCATTGTTCTGATAGACTGAGGTATCAGAGAAGAACCGTGATAGAGAGAAAAAGAGGATAAGCAAGAGATCGAGTGGGGGAGAAAAAAAAAGATATGTTAGCAATGCATAAGTTCTACTATATTTCCTAGAGAGGCTTGCATAGCGGCATCGTCGTCGTCGTCAAACGATTCTATCTGTAGGGGCGACCCCAAAAAAGAAAATTTTCTACTCTTCGGTGACTAATTTGATCAAAAATTGTTTTTTTTTATTTATTTACTTTTTCAGGGAATACTATAAGATCAAAAATTAACAAATAATCGATGGCATCGGTGTCCGATGAAATACCTTCTATGAAGAAGAATGAAGTCAAATCATCGCCGGCAGCAAATAAAGCTTCTGTAGAAAGTGGTAAACTAAAATCGGTTAAAACAAAGTCATCGACAAAAAAGACTGAAGAGAAAATAGAACAAGTAGAAGAAAAACAAAAGCAACCTTCAACTTCGGCACCAACAGAGTCTAATAATTCATTATCTACTAAATCTGACGTGGAAGAAGGATCAACTTTTAATCCTTCAAAAGAAATCAAAGAAGAAAATCATGACAGCAAAATTCAAGAACCAAAAAGTCATGATAACAAACCACAAGAACAAGAAAATCATGACGTTAAACCTCAAGAACAAGAGAATCATGACGTTAAACCACAAGAACAAGAAAATCATGACGTTAAACCTCAAGAACAAGAGAATCATGACGTTAAACCTCAAGAACAAGAGAATCATGACATTAAACCTCAAGAACAAGAGAATCATGATAGTAAACCTCAAGAACAAGAAAAACCGGTACAAAAAGCTCGTTCTGTTAATTTTGCTTCAACAGCAGCTGTTGATACGGACGCACCTAAATTACGTCCATCAAACTCATTCAATACTAGATCTTCTTATTCACCATCAAAACCATCACGTCAAGCAATTGATTTTATTGACACATTAGTAGAAAGTTATAGACTTGAAACATCGAATAGTACGTTGCCAATACAAGAAACAAAATATGTACCAAAAACTAGCCGCTCACGTATTAATCCCAATTGGCGTGAACATCGCACACGGCGATTAATGAATAGATTAGAAGAATTAAGCTTATGGGATCGTGAAGAAGAATTAAAAGCATCACAAGCTCAAGCATTACGAGAACAAAAATGGGAACAAATACTAGATCGCCAACGCAATCATGATTTATGTTTATCACTAATGCGTCAACGGCATGAAAGTGAAATGGAGAGTGCTATTAAATTAGATCCTGGAGTGACTGGTATTAATGATGAAAATACAAGTGCAACAATAGCAAATGCAGTTAATTTATCAATAGCTCTCAATGGTTTTACTAATGATGTACCACCAACACCGCAATCACTTAAACGACGTGTTCGACAAGATGAAGAAAAAACAGTTGAATTTAAAACACCTATTGGTCGTTATCGACAATTTGAAAAAAACATGACTAATAAACTTGATAAAATTAATCAAAAATTAAAACCAGATCGTGAAATAATGAATGCATATAATCCAAATAGTATATCACTATCATCAGCAAGTGTACCATTATTTAGTGAAACATATTCAGCATTACTTTCTGTACCTGATACATATTCATCAAATAAATACAATCAGTATCATTATGGTGTTGCTTCATATTTACATCAGCCATATCATGCATCAAGTCCTGATTTTGAAACACGTCTTCGATCATATTCAAATCGTGATGTACGTGTACCATTGAAAGAGCAAGCCAATGATTATAGAGATTATGATGATGACAAGGCAGATGAATATAATCGTTCAAATCTCATTGATAATAGTCATTATACTAAATATCGTTCAAATCCGATTGATAATGAATCTCATAAGAAATATCGTTCAAACTCAACCGATGATGGCTACTATTCAAAACATCGTTCAAATCGTATCGATGAAGATTATGATTCTAAATATCTTTCAAGTCCTATTGATGAAGAATATACTCTTAAATATCGATCGAATCCAATCGATGAAGATTATAGTCCAAAACATCGATCAAAACTTGTAGATGATGAATATGAGCCAAAACATCGATCAAAACTTGTAGATGATGAATATGAGCCAAAATATCGATCAAAGCTTGCGGATGATGATTATAATCTTAAATGTCGAACAAAGCTTGCGGATGATGATTATAACCCTAAATATCGATCAAAACATGTCGATGAAGAATACAATCATAAATATCGATCGACTCCTATTGATGATGATGACGAAGATTATTATCCTAAATATCGAACAAAGCCAATTGATGATAATTATTATACAAAATATCGTTCAACATTAGCATCAAAATTAGATTATAGCCCACCAAGACGAACAACTAGTTTAGTATCCGCAACTGCTTCAGCATTATATGATCCTTCAACAATACCGACTACGCCACGTGAATATTCTCTAATTCATTCACGTCCACCAGCATCAAAAAGTATTCATTTGCGAAGTTTGAATGATGATCTTAATGCTATAACACGTTTTTCAACAGAAACAAGTAAGAAAATTTTACAAACTATTGGAGATTCAACAAATGATTCATCGATTAAATCTCTTTCATCAACCATAGCACCAAAAAAGTATGCAAGTATTCGTACTCAAGATTCTGACGATGAAAATATTGATTATAATTCATCACGTAATTATTCATCAAAAACAACGCACAAGCCTACAGAAATTATATCGCTTTCATCAACACGATAAATATAGTTATGAAGAATGATAACAACAACTACAAAAAAAAAGACCAGAATACCTTTTCATAATCGAACATTACCTTTTTTTCTTCTTCTACTTCTATTTCTTTTTCTTTTTCTTTTTTTGATTTGTGACGCACACTCATACACTCATACACACACACACACACACACACACATACATACATACATATATATTTGCATCTATCTTTATACAATATCAAGCACTTAAATGACTTTTGGACAACTATTAAACTTGCCAATGACAAATGTGTGCACATGTGAAGAGAAAATGACCTTAGATTAGCGTTCGTCTTCAGAAAGATTTATTACGCAAAAAGACATATTGGTATCATGAATCAGACTATTTTTAAGTGGATATTTATTCTAGAAAAGAACAGAAACCTCCAGCGGCTAAGAAAAGCTTTTCCTATTGGTAGACAATCGAGCATATTGAGGAAAGAGAATATATATATATGGACTGCAAACCTACGAAAAAGAATCTGCCAACATACTAAGATGTGCAGTGAAAATAAACAGGATAAGATTTTCTCTATTGCACAGTAATATGTGTAGCTGTAATTAGGTGCCTGTCAACCATCGTAAGCTATTCAAGTGAAATGGCATCATAATAATGATGAAAATAATATATAATCTATTTTTACTCGGTAAGAATTAAGGTATTTTCAATAGAATAATAAAGTATATTACCACGCAATGAATTTCATAGATTAACTGTAATAATGATAAAACTAGTGCGACATAGCTTTTCATCAGATTTTAATGACAAGTGACTTGTAGAAGCGAGCTTATTGATAAAACAATATATCAGAAGAGAAACTTCGCAAAAAAATTGATATTTGTTTTATATAAGTAGATAGTGTTCACTCATCAGGAATATTCCCAAGCGTAGTTATTTTTCTGATTATTTCTAGTTAAAATTTCAATCGCGCGTGTTTTTTGAATGTGTATAAAACTAATGGTAGATAGTTTTCTACGATTATTAGAATCATACTTCTGAGTAATTGTTCTTAATTAGAAATAGTACTAAAGAGAAAATATTGAAAGTGTGGCGATCATTAATTTTACTTTCAGAATCTACTCAAAAGCATATTTTTACCTATTCAACGGTATCTAAAACACCTAAATAATTCAAACTTGGCAATGAAAACCTATCCGAGACTTATTTATCGATGAAATATCATTAAGATACTGTTGTTAGTTATTCGATGTATTGTTCCATTTACGTAACGAAATTAGAACCAATCACAGTTATTGTTTTATTTTTTGACAAGTTAAATTATTGAGAACAGGTATGATTTGCATTCATTTAAGCAGAAGATAAAATAAACATACGTCAAGATGGATCAAGAAATAATCACGTATTTGACAGAATTATGATTGATCAAAAGATGATCGCTAATAGGAAAAAAACGAAAATTTGACTTACGAGTTTGAATTTTAGTTTTTGATGTTGGAAACGAAAACATCATGATTCAAATCAATTTATTGTTCTCTTCTATGTGTTAAATTTATAAGAACATGTTAAGCTATTTTTAAATAATATTAGAATCTTATTTCTCACTTCTAATAAATGAATAAATGATGAGTTGTTGTTGTTTTTTTTCAATTGTGCTATGGTGTAGTGTTTAGATTATCAATATACATCTAACAGTACGGAAATTTTATATTATAGCTATAAAACAAAAATACAATATTATCAACAATATCAACGAAGTATATTTCTAATTTACAGCTAAAAGTTTTCAACACATCGTAAAACATTTCGATGTTGACAAAAATCGAGTGGTATCAAAATATTCACCAGTTCTGTTTAATGAGAAGCTCGTTTACTAAATTAAAAAACTGATTCGTATATGTATGCGTAATATAAATATTTATTAGTAGTGATAAAATAGAGACCGGTAGCGATATAAATAAGGATTTTAAAAATCTGCTGATAAAACTTTTCAAATCTAACACTGATTGAAATTGAATCCTAATTTATGTCATATCAAATATTTTGTTGCTCATTTAAAATACCGAGTCTTTTCTTATCATAATAGGGATCGGATAATTGACTTCTCGGATAAAATCAGCTCTTTTGAAATGAATGTAAACCTATTATTAGTACATGCATGATCTACTATCAGTGGAATTTTTGTTGGTATTTGGTTCAATGCGTAATTTGATGCTAATAGTAAAAGAAAGCCAAGAGATTCATGCGTTGAACTTTATCATATCAGTACTGATATGAAATATTTATCGGTACTAACCCATACATAGAGACATTTTGTTACTGTCATCAAAAAAGAAAAATGATCTGTAATTATTCATGTTAATGATGATCAACAGATTTTATTTGTTATGCAAGAGATTCAGCTGCTAAATTGTATTGACACATTTGTCGATTATCTATCAAAATATAAATAATCGTCGAATCATTGAAAAAAAAACGGAAACAAGTCATTCTCTCATTTGAATCTATTATTGAAATAATCAAACCAGACATTGTATTGTTTGTAACAAATATGACAGCTGTTAGAATTGCATTTATAGATTATAATATCAATCTTGACGGTTTATTTCTTCATAAACAATTCTTTGAAGAGATAATTCTTGACATGTGCAATACAATGACAAAGAAATGAAAACTTCTTTCAAGTATCTATCACATGAAACTTCCTCATCCAAATATTAGTTTGAATTTGATCAAAAAGATGCATTTAATTTCTTTATCTACCAATGAAACATTTATGAGTTAACTATTGAAAACGTTTTTGAGAATATATTGCATGAGAATTTTCGTATTAATAGGATTCCTTATAAAACAAAAATCTTCAATCAACACAAGATCAACAAACATAATCCTTTGTAACGAATAGAAAATGTTGAGTTCGAAAATACGAAGAAAAAAAAGTTGATCTTTTTTCTTTTAGTAAAGAAACTTGATTCTCATTCTTTGACAGTCTTTGCAATTATTCTCACTTAATAGAATTTGTGTTCTAAATAGCAATCAATTAATCATTGTGTTTAACGTCATTATTTATATGTAGTAACAGTAAATATAATAACAACTAGAGTAAAATATGATGCGCTACAATTCCTCGCTATCATTTTCGTATTCATGCATTAGAATCTAACAGCAATGTATAATAATGTCAGTATTAACATTCCTGTTTCTAAGAAAGTACTTGAATACACTTCTAGATTTTATAAGTGCATTCGAAATTTAGCAAATTTTTTTCCCATTCTAGTCATCGAAGTCAGAGCAAACATCTCAGTTAAATTGATTGCAGTGTACGAAGAATAATCATTCTTATCTTTTCTTTCACCATTTTATTCTATATTTTACGTTAACATCGTTTTTTGTTGTTTTAATTAGTTTAATAAGGCCTGATTCACTGACAAAAAATAGTAAAGAAATATATCATACGCATAAAACGTACTCAGAGTGCAAAAATATGACATTTTTTTCTTCTCGTTGATAGTTAGAGATCATACAAAGAAATTCTAAAAAGTTTTTAAAGAAATTAACAATAGAAATATCAAATTTATGTAGTAATTAAAAAAATAGTAGCATATTTTGATTGATGCATGGTGCAATAAGTTTACTCATTTCAATCTTGTTAAGCGTGAAATGGATACACGCTACTTATTACATATATACTATGTATGTTATTCCATTTTAGTCCATTCTTTACTTACGTCGTATTTTCTTCACGGGGAAAATCTTTTGTATTCTTTATCTTATTGTTTAGCTATCATTTAGCGACATAACGTTTAAATGACATCAGAAATTTCTATTATATCAAAACTTATCCATAAGCAGCATCGATCATTACTTGAATGCTCTACTACGAACGATAAACTACTTCAATGTTTATTAAGTCCCATAATAGAGAATTCAACTGACATGCTTCTTGCAATACCTATTCCAATACATAAAATATGTCTAGATGCATCAGGAAAAAAAAATGTTTTTACAACTGATAATCTAACAATCGATGAACTAAATCTTATGCTTAATCAATATATGAAAAATCTTTGTAATATACAAAATTATCTTAATAAGTTAGATGAACATTTTAAAGATCTATCTAAGATTATCGAATATCTACGAAATAATAAAAGTTTCACTAATACTGTTGAACTTATTGAAACACGTCTTTTACAAATGTATGTTAAACGAAATCAAATCAATGATTTACTAAATCAATTTTCTATTAAACATCTCATGGAAAAAGTACGTTCTTCAAAAAAATAACTACATCCATGTAAAACGTTTTTTTGCTTTTAGATTTCACCGTTAATTCTCAAATCAAAATCAGTTATTAATTATAATGAATTATTAATTTCGACACAATTAAGTATCAATCAAAAAACCACATTAATTGATCATCTTAAAAATGAATATCGATATACAAAATATCATTTAAATGAATATTCATTAAAACTAAAAGATCGACGTGAATCACTTATGAAATTAACAAAACAAATTCAACAATTTTTAATTCAACAAAGTAGAGCAGCCAAAGAAGCAAATTTCATATCAATAAATAATCAACATGATCGACAGCATATTGAATTAACAAATTTATCAAATGAATATGAACAATTGCAGAATGAAAATTATTTATTAGCATTGAAAGCTAAAGAAAACCTTGAAAGATTTTCTATGATGATGCAATCAAATCATGGTTAGATAAGAAAAAAAAGTCGCATTTAATATGACCGATATTACTCGTTTCTTTTCTTCTATATTTTGTCTTTTTAATCATTTCACAACTTTGCACACAAAAAAAAAACTCTAAAGATATACAAAATGTTTTTCATTGTCGAACAAATAAAAGCAAAACAGCATCAACAACTGTTTACATTTGACTGACTAGCTTTATATAATACAAAAAAAAAATTATCTGTAAAATTCATTCACTAAAAAAAAAAGATTTAGTTTATTTAGTTGTTGTTGTTAAAGGCATATTACATCCATTTGTTGGCGAAAATTCATTCATTAATGAAACCTAAAATAGAGCAAAGAAGAACAAAAATGATGTTGATGTTGATTATGATGATAGAAAAAATAATAGTATGGGGAAAAACTATATATATATGCATATATATATTATGCAATCCGTCCTGCCCACAACCTGAAAGCAACCATAAAATCATCTCGAATGGACACTTTTTGGTTGTGAAAAGGACATGATCACTTTTTAACAAAAAGAAAAAAGAAAAAAAAAGAAGTTTATATTAATTTACCATTCCACTATCGACTGAACATTGAGAATTTCGACATGGCAAAAGTTCTTTTGTATTGTTCGTTGTCGTTTGATGATTAACTATAATAATAAAATTTCTAGAATAGTGTTTACTATTTAAATCAACTCACATAGTGATGGAGCCGGCATTGTTAATGTCATATCCAATAATGAATTTGATAATGTTCTTGACAATGGTCTATCACGTTTATTTGTTGGATAATCAATTAATGACGAAATAATACCATTGGCATTATTATTTAATGAATCTGCAAGTGAACTCCAAGAGCCGCGTAATTTGTCAAGTTCAGTTTGTATGCGTAAGCCTTCCATTTCATCCATTTCCATAATGGCTTCTTTTAAATCTTCACAAAATTTTGTACGATCATGCTCATTTCTTGCATTGAAAGTAATTAAATTTGTTTGATGTATATCTGGTTTACGCACAAGACGAATACCATATTGATAATCTAGAAATTAGTTTAATCATGCGCTGAAATTCAAATTTTCTTTTCTTTTTTTTTATGTCTTACGTGTCGTTTCAAATAAATATAAATTCATTCCAGACAGGCGAAATGCTTGACGAAATTGATATTGTAATTGTTGTCGTTTCTTACCGGAAATTTTTGTAATCTAAATCAATTAAAAAAAAAAAGATTTGAAAATTTTTTTTTTATCCAGGTTAAAACTTACAACAAGTAAATCATTGAAAAGAAATACTTCACGTTGATGTGCTGTAAGTCTTTCGCGTTTTGACAAATCATAGATTTCATATAATCGACAATAGCATACAAGTCGGCGATGCGGTGCAACTAATGATGGCTTTTTACCAATCAGTGTTTGCTCAAATTTAGCTACTTGAGTTACGTGATCATTATCGGGCCGAAATTCTTCAGCACGTATGCGTTCATAAATTCCAGTTAAATAATCAATATCAAGATCCTCACCATAATCAATTGCTAGAAAATAATAAGAATATTAATAGTATGACTTGTTTAATAATCATCATTTCGGAATAGAGAATCAGAAAAGTCAAGTTGAATGTCTATTGACATAGAGAGAAAAAAAAAGTTTTCTCCTCTCATTTTGCTTCAGAGTAATGACGACAACCGAACGATAGCAATGAGTGCCATAGCTATGTGCAAATGGTCGATGATTTATAGATGATGGTTTTCTTGTTCTTCTTTTTTTTGCAACTTCCTTCTCTTTTTTTTTTCTTCTTTTATAATAGATCCGATGAAGAAGAGATGGAAAAGTCTATTTTCTCTATTTCTCTCTCTATCTCTCTAGCGCACGACCGTTTTTTTTTTCTCCAGTTCAACGAGACATTTTAGTTTGCTTCCGTTCGCTGTCGTTGGTATGATTGGAGAAAAGGAATCAATCTACTACTATATAGTGTTGTAAAAATTGAAACGACCGATTTTCATTCTATTGTCTGATTTCTTTTTTTCCACTTATTCTGCTTTCTTTTTTTCTTTTCTTTTCCCTTCAGCTTTTCCGTCGATATTCGGACGTCTCTTGACAAAGAAATGAATAAGAACGCAATAATTTCTTTCGGAGTCTCTCTTACTTATTCTCTTTTGCATCTTCTTAATGGTAATAGTATTATTGACATGGAGTGAGACCGCTCGTACAAGTTCACATGAGTCGAAGCAAAATTCGATTTTGACTTTGAGTATATATACTAGCAGTTAACAAGCGAAAAGGCCTTGACAAGAATGATGATGAGAAGTAGACGAATGAGTGAATAAGGGAATGAGTGCTCGTTCTTATAAAAAGCGTTTTTCTCAACTTGCCTATAATGAACTTGTAGGATTGTGAAGAAAGCGGAAATCACTTCTCTCTCTCTTTCCCTGTCTCTTTATTAAAGTAAAGCGAGTGAAACAACTACAAGAAAAAACGACAAAGTAAAAGCTATTGCTCAAACAACGGTAGTGATGGATGTTTCCTCTCTGTTTGAAAAGAAAAACCGTATGATCCGACTTTTTCCTACTTACTTTCTCTCTTCCGCTTCTACAGATATACTTATACACACGCACACACACACACACACACACATATATATATATATATATAATAAAGTTTTTATTTGGTCAATAAGACTAGATTAAATGAATGCTTTAATTTGGTTGCTGGGAAAAAATGGCTGTAAAAAAAGAAATGAACAGGAATGCATTATATTTACTTGTAAAATCTGAACTATCTATTAATGCAGCATAGTTCAGTTTGAGTGTGCTCGATTTTCTGATGTTAGAAAGAAAAAGAAAAAAGACAGATTAGTATGCAACTATAATAGTCCAATAGTAAGATCTTTATCAAGAAATTACTCTAATGCTACAAAAAAACGAAGAACAAGAAAAATAATCAGAAAAAGAAAAAGTCATCTGATTAATCCAAACTGAAATGTCAATAGCTCAACGTCTCAATACATTCTATCGAATTGATTGAAGAGGCAAGAAAGAAAAGATAGGAAAGATAGGAAAAAAACGGACTGGCAAAATTAAATTTCGGCTGTCACCGCTAGAATGCACTAATCATGTCAATCTTACGACTCTGCGCGTTTGCATACTGAGTGAAATCCTATACGTCTATAGAAAATAAAAAGAAGCAACATAACGATCATCTCATCCGTGGCGTTTCGTTGTTGTTTTCCATAATTTACTGTCATGGTTCTAGATTCCTCTCTTCATGTCATGTTAATGATAGTGCATCAGAATAATGAACTTGTAAAACAAAAGTTTCGTTTTATATTCACATCAGTTCAAAGCTGTCTAATCTATTTCATCTCTTTCTTCTCTACTTCGCTTCGCTTCGTTAATACAATGTCCATTATCATCAATGACAACATACAATGTGACGCTCTAGTGTCTGCAGCATGCACATCTAATTTGAATTGAAAGATATATTTATATATAATAAGACAGACACAAAAAAAACTGAAGAAAACGACGATGACTATTTTTATCATCAAGAGTTCTGGAATAACAGTGCTTTATAGTAAAAGATAGCTGAATGACTTACATGATTATTAGGAGCCTTTTCTCCATTTGTGTGTATGTGAAAAAAAAATCCGAGCAACTATGTTATGTTCGATCCATCGAAGATTTATTTATCAACAATCATAATGTAAATGTACTAATAGTAAAGACATCAGTCGGTTAGAAGCAAAAAAAAAGAAGCATCGCCTCCATTTAGATTGCCTCAGTAACATCGATAGTGATTTTTCTCGCGCTCCTCCTCCCTTTTTTCTCCCTCGGATGCTTGCAGATGGTCAATTTGCATGGTAGTCGTACTGTTTACTTGAAGAAATGTTTCCTAATTGATTCTTGTCTATTTGTGTTCTATATATAGAGAGAGATAGACAGATAGATAGATAGAATGAGCAAACTCGTTTAGACTCTGTTGAATATATTTACGCATGATTCTGTATGTTTTCCTTTCGATTATCTATCGATGCGCACATTCCAGTTTCCATCCGATCAGTATGCATGTGTAAGATTTGCGTGGCTCATTACAGAAAAAAAATAGGAAAGACTTATATCGTAACTATCTTTACTAACAGTCTAAAAATTGAATAGACGTAAGATTTGCCGAAATTGCATTCACTTGTTCTTCAATCCATTTCGGCTCACACACCGACCAATTAATCTGACATGCAAGCAACATACATACATACATACATACTGCTGTCCGACCATGGAAATGTAAACGTCACGAGGAGAAGAAGAAGAAGAAAGAAAAGAAACATGACAGAATGAGGTTAAAAGAAAACTTCTGCTTATCGTATAACCCTTCTCATCATAAGCGTATTTGCAAGCAGGCAAAGAACTAGAAAAAGTAAAACAAATGTGACAAATTGGCAATCAGTGTCGTTCATTTTCCTTACTACGACAACTAATAGCCTGCAGTAATGGTAAAAGATTCATTATGTTCCCTACTGTGCATATTTACATTAGGGGGGAAAAAATCGACATTTACTATATACATATAAGAAAACGTCACACGCACATATAGAAAGAAAAACGTTCTATCGATTTCTATGCCTTTTTGATAGATATAAATGAATGCAATCTTACCACGAAGATTTTTAATGAATTGTTCTTGTCGCATTTTTTTCTCAGGTTTTATATTTCGACTATGTAAATCAGTATTTAACATAATAATGGCAAAAGCTAATATAAATATGGTATCTATATTCGATGGTGATGTTGATGGATTTGTTATGCAATAACGTTGTCCAAACATCTATATAAAAAAAAAAAACGTAAATAGAGAAGAAAAAACCAATTTCATTCTATGAAATAAATCGATATTTTTTTGTTCTAATATTTAACATGTTCAAGTACACTTGATGTTCGACTCACCTGCATCAATTGTTCGATTTTTTGTGCTTCACCCTGTAATAGAAAAAAAAATGAATGGTTTATTATTTAATCGATTATTTTATTCTTCGCTTACTGGTAATCGAAAGCCTGATTGAAATTTCCTTAATGCTATATCAATTGGCATGTCGTGAAAATCGAACTCATTCACATAAGCACTGAAAAGAAGAAGAAAAAATATTATTTATAATATACGTGACAAGAAAAGAAAGGAAAATTTGTATCATTAAAACTTACTGTAATACTTGCATAGCAAATGGATCTTGTAAATTACCAAGATACTCTCCAATCATTTGTCGACTTAAGCCTTTACGTGAGAGTAAAAATCGTGCCACAGCGTGAGGACTTGCTTCAAGAAAACGATGTGAAATTAAATATCGAATACCACGTTCAGATTTTCTATTCAATCGATTAAATCTATTTATAAAACCATAAACAAAACAAAAAAATTCTTCATACTTATTAAATATATTCAATCCAGCTCGGTAACAACGTCTTCTATATGCTTCATTCATTTTTATTGTTGATGTTCGTTCTTGTCCATGTAAAACAGGTTGATGTTGAATAAGTAATGTTTGTGGATGATGTAAATCAAGACTATTGGATAGTGAACATGAATTTGAACCGCTACTTGTTGATTGTAAACTCATATTATCACGATCTGAACTTGTTGTTGATGTTGGACTGAAGCGTGGTATAATTGAACGAATGGGACTTTCAAGAAAAAGATCATAAGATTCATTATCAGGCGTATTTATTGTTAAAGATGTTTTTCTTTTCCATATCGGAGATGTTTTAGAATTCGGTATTTGGTTTAAGTTTGAATGAGGTTTCAATGATAAACTTCGAACGGGTGGTGGTGGTTTTGATGATGAATTTTTTCTAGGATACATAGGAGAATCAGTAAGATTTTTATAATAACTTGAATTGTTTGTTGTTGGCGAAAGTGATTGAGTCTTTAATAGACCATTATATCCATTAGAATTTATTGGATTATTATTATTTTCATTTGCTTCAATAATTACAAGTGGTTTATTTGAATGGCCATCAACAAAATCACTTATACTATCCATAGGATCATAAAAGTTTTTATTTGGAGGCATATCAGTAACAATGCAAACGCGTTTACGATTTTTATTTTGTTGTTTTGTTGTTTCAATAAAATGTTCAAAATTAATCGATGGTAAATCAAGATGACGATCAGTAAAACTTAACGATATAGAATCAGAATTTGTTGGTGTATTTGATGATGATGATGATGAACTTGTTGAACTATTTAATAAATCTTCAGTGTGAATTGGTAATGAAGCACTTGCATTCGTTGTTTTTGTTCTTAGACATGGTTTTAACGGTTTTATACTTTGATTTTTATGATTATATGTATTATTAGTATCAACAAATGTACACGATAAACGTTTGTTTGTTTTCATTGTAGCACATAAATGGCGAAAATTTTGTTGTAATTTATATTGTCGATAAGCACGTTGAATTCTTGTAGCTGCTCGACGACATCGTAAACTTCCACCATATTTTTTTTCAAGCATTTCAATTTGTTTATCCTGAAGATCCTGTGACAGTTCATAGGCATTTATTGGACATGTTGTAGCTATTGTTGTAGATGATGATGATGATCGTGATGATGGTGACGATGATGATGATGATGTTGATGTTGATGACGATCGAGTATCTAAGAGATTTGTCAGTTTTTTCATTGGTTGTTGAAATCTAAAGTAAAAATAAAATCGAATGGAATATTCAATGAATACTAGATTATGATGAAAACAAAAGCGTTGGTTTCTTGCTGCTGAATAGAGCACTAGTTACTTGAGCTAAATTATCTCTATTCTATTGGAAAATGTGAGTAAACATTCATTATCATGCACAGGCAAATATATATATATATATTTAATGTTCATGTCAAATAGAAGATGAGTCTGATTATGATAGGATAGGAAAAAGAGAAATGTTATGACAAAAAAAAAATACTAGAGATGAAACCTACCGATGTGACAATAGAAAAAGAAGTTATTAAATAGAATGTTAATAATTGACTCTTGCATGACGTCATATTCAATATTCGAAAAGCTCGCATAACAATGATATCTAATTATTTTTTCTTTGACAAAGAAATATTATTGATTATGAACGTTGTTTTTTTCTGATTATTGTTTCAGCCAATATACAAAATAAAAAGCTACCAAGAATGATTTTTTTCCATTAATATTTATTCTTAAAAAATTAGGCAAATATTTGATTAATCAAAAAAAGTGTTTCCAATTCTTCGAGATCATGCATACTAAATGTACCCTGCAACTGACAAATGTCAAGGCAACTGACTGTAAACTTATTTAATTGTCAAAATTGATAAATGATGACATCTGTATGCAAAAAAAATGGATCGAAATGTCTTTTTGGCTGTTGCGTCTGTTGGTATACACTCACACGCACACATATATACTCTGTTCATTCATTCGACACGCAGATATGATAGCAACTACAAACGTTTATCTATCGGCTTGTTAGTTGCTGACAGAATTCATGTGTGTATGTTTTCTAGCTTAAGACTGATTATGCAAAGTAAATAAAAGCATATATATATGTATAACCTTGATGAGAAAGAGACTCGATAGCATGCTATCTTTCAACTGGTTACATATGATTATTGAAAAGAAAACTTACAAATTATTATTATTATCATTATTGATGCTATTATGGATATTTAATTTTTGTTCATCAGAAAGTAACGACAGTAAATAATCACGTTCAGCTTGTATTGATTTTAATTGAGCTTGAAGTTTATTTAAATCATCTTGCTGTTTTTTAATAATGCTATCTTTTTCTTCAATTAATGTACGTGTACCACCAGGTGGTGGACAATCAATACGCTGCCGTAAATATTGTTCCATTATCAAATAATATTTATTTCATTCTAAAAAAAGCAAGAAAAGAATAATGAAAGAAACAAAAAAAGGGTTGTTTAATTATTTTTCTAAGAATAGTTTTCATTATTCTTTCCTTTTACGATAGAACATGTTAAACAGAGTTAGTAAGTACTCATTGTCATTGAACCTTTTTTCGCTTATAATCATACAAATGTTACTCTTCCTAAAGCGGTGAGAAATCACACACATACACACAGAAGCACAGACTAAAAAAAGTATGCTGAGAGATGTTGACGATGATGACAAATGTTCATTGTTCATCACTTCATCCGTTCTTTCAGTAACAAGAAAAAGAGACAGGAGCAAGAGAGAAAGCAAAAAAATATATATATATGTGGAAAGAAGGACATGAACGAAGAAGGAAAAGACGAATGTGACGATTTTTTTATCATCCTTTTTTCTCGTGCTGTTGATGGAATATACTGACGACTCAAACAATGAAAAACGTGATAACATTCATCATCAGCAAAAAAAGTGGCGTAAAAGACACACGACGAGACACAAAAGAGAGAAAAAAAGAAATTTAATAATAATAATTCAAGCAATTAAGAAAGAAACTGCTCATATCGTATGAAACAAAAAGACAATTATACTATTTTCTCTTAGCAAATTATAAAAATTCTATACTAATCTTTGATAGAGAAAAAATGCTCCATAATCATATACGCCACTTTCTATTCGTATAATTGAATTCGTCGTAGACGACATCGTTAACGTAGAGAACACTTCATATCGTTCTTGTCTCACTGAACGGTTCTCTGACTTCCGTCTTGTTCTTGGGCTATGTCGGTTTCGTTTGAAGACAAGGTCAAGCTCGAATTAAAAAACGGATATGTCGAGCATATGACGAAATACGATAAAATAATTAGAAAGAGGGGAAAAGTACGGCAACGTTAATTGGATTGTGAATAAATTTACCACACGTCGACATCTCTCACGGGACACAATGGTTACAATCTCAGATAGCCTTCAGGACAGATGGAGACAGACGGGAGGAGAGAGAGAGAGACAAGTAATAGAATGTTCAGAGTTCATATTTAATTGAAATCAACAGAGCACAATTAGTCTTCGAGCGGAATGAATATTATTTCTCATCTATAATCATGTAGAAGAGTACATGCATGTAGAAAGAGCGCGATCAACCATCTTGATTATCACAAGAAGATTTTGTATGTCATTCCTTAGCATAAGCCATTTATACACTTGATTTGATTGCATCTGTCGACTTTTTTTTATCTCTTCGGATTAAGATTTCTAGATCACATATTGATGCCGCATTCTAAAAGATGACCAATTCAAACCTATGATTATAAGCAAATGTGCATACTTCTGCTGAGATATTATTTCATCAAATAGTTAACTAGTCGATTTTGTACTAATAGACAAACATATGCTTAAATATCATCCGGGAAATGAATATAAAATAAAAGAAATAAACAGATAATGAGCCTTGACCGAATAATGATAGGGTAAGAATGAGGCGCGAACCCGAAAGACATCAACTTGTCTTTAAAGAGCAAAAAATATGTGCAAAAACACGCATATGGCTTCAGGAAGAAACCTAATAACATGATATGTACATAAATAATCGCGCATGTTCTTTGTCTTGAAATTGTCATCATTATTACTTCGTTGTGTTCTTCAACGTTATTATCATCATACGTAATACGATAGATAGAATCGTGTTCTTCGGTCTAATATCTTATTAGAAGATTGTGAATAGAAAAATAACAATAATATGGAAAAAAACGACTTGATAGATCTTAACCGACACAAAAAAGGACTTACTGCTTTACCTATTCTCTTATCTTACCTTCATATTGTTGTAAGAGATAATATGCAGGATTATTGATAGTCAAAGAAAATGAGCAATGCTCAAGGGAAGAGTAAGAAAAGAAGAAGCAGTAAACGAAGAAAAAACCGATCAAAACTCGTGGAAACGATAACGATCATATACCAATCGTTGGCGTCATTTTTCTCAGAGATAAAGAACAAGAAAGTAAAAATAAGAATAATAATAGTTGTGATATATACAATCGTCTTCCGTGTCTGCGTTGTGTAATGAAAAGTAGCGGATATATTTAATGTTCTATGGCAGTCAGCTAGTCAGTCAGCCAGCCACGCAGTCAGTGTTCATTTGTACGTGTGTGCGCGCATACAGTCATTTTCATCCATTCACTGTTTGTTTTGCTCTTATATGCTTTTACTACTCCCGCTGCTGCCGTCTTTTCTCATCGTCATCGTGGCCGTTGTCGTTCTCCTTAATTTCTCGTGGCACTGACAATAATGATGAAGCAGAACGTACAAAAACTGAACTGTACATGACTCTACCGTCGTGGCACGCGTTCATTGTCTGAACGTGTCAAAAAAAAGTAATGGAAAGAAAAAGAATAGGAAAGAGACACAAAGCGAGAGGGAGAGGGAACGTTAGATCTAAAGACAGTCGTTTTTTTTGTCTTTTACTGTATTCAAACGAACTGTGCGTGAACAGATGTTTAACGATCTTTCTTTTACTCTCTCGTTCTCTTTAGCGCGCGCGCGCTTTTATGAACAAAAAGAATGAAATGAAACAAACGGTCTGTCAAGAGGATTGTTGTGCTGGTCAAGACACTATAGTCGATATTCATATTGATGACAAAGCAACTCTCAAGTGATTGTCAACAAGAAGAGAAGCAGTCGAATGACTGATATATGAGAAAAATCTGAAAGATAAAACTATGCTGAGGTTATCGTCTCACGATCGAGGCAGAATGGAATCAAAAATAGATCGATCAAAATTATAACAAGACTATGGACAATGATCTTGTAACATTAAATCACGATAAAAGTTGAATAATTATGTCAGACAATGCACGAACGTATTTTAAATAAGAAGGAATATTGAGCATGTGAGAATTAGTTCGTTCATTATCCCAAGAGGGCGGACAATCACTGTTCAAGCATAAATGACTGCGGCAAGGTCTATTCACTCTCTTTCCATATTCTCATGAGATCGACATGTACGACAAATCATCTTCGGTTTTTATTTTATTTTTATCTATCTCTAATATTTCCAAACTAAGCTATTGGTCGTTTAAGATACATGATGTTGATCACAGCTACGATAATAGAAATTAATGGAATATAGAGCTATATAAATCCTTTTTTTGGGAAGAAAAAAAAGAATCTGATGCTAGATAATAGACAATAATTTTAAAATGGATTATATAATCGATTAGTATCAGTTTGTATGCATGAATAGAAACTATGATTAGTTTCTTGTTTTAAATCGTTGGAAGAAAAAAGCAATCTAGTATGAACCACAGAATATGATGATTATTTAGTATTGTAGTAAATCCTACGAGATATTCCTTTTTACTTGAAAAAATAATAATAACAACAATGTGTAAGCTCATTTGTTGCGGGTTAGTTATAAATGCTAAAAAAAGAACGAGGTCTTTTATATTTTTCTTCTTCTTCGCTTTATTCTTAATACCCGTGAGCATACTTTTCCATGCTATTCTTTTCCTTTTAAGTAATGTTTGGAAAAGTTTATTATACTTTTACGGTAATTTTTTGTTTTGTTCAAAAGTACAAAGTGGAATCAGTAGCATTTTATTATTAGTTGTATACGACCACTAATATATATATATATATACATTAGAATTTCTTTTCAGTATTAAAACTGATTGAGTGTGTAGAAGAAAGTTTTAAATGATCCTTGATATAATGAACATATTTGATAGCAAATAAACAAGATCCGATCATCATTCAGTACGTCTCAGCAAAGAGTTTTTAGTTTTCAGCTAATATATATATAATCAATACTATAGTCTGTTAACTTCGCTCATGTTTTGTCATCATTAGTTACCTTGCCAATCTTATCCAGACAGATAAAAAAAAAAGATAAATGGTAGAAAACAAAACAAAGATTTTTATTTATCAAAAAATATTAAATCAAGTTGAGGGAATCACGAACATGTATTGCATTAAAAGAAAAGATCAGCATTGCAAATAAAGCTACTTTTAGGAATGATTAGCATAATAACTCGATATTTCCATTATCGGAGCCGAAAAGCAGAAGACGATTTTCTGGGAATAGTGCAATTGATGAAAGTGTACCTTTGACATTTTCAGATTGCAGACGTGTACATTGACAATCCATCTTTTGATTTATAAGAGATAAAAGTAAATCATTAGAATCAACAAAGATAATAAAAAGAAATATATACTTGTGTTCCTCCTTTCATATTTGAATAAATGCATAGTTTATTTGTTTGTGTAGCAACAATAAATTCTCCACTACGTGTCGATAAAATGAATGGAGCAGGATCCATATGTGCTTGAAAATAAGAAAAGTTACAAAATTTTTAATCAAACTCTAAAATATTTTACATTTTAACAATGCCGGTGAGGCTTGTGCTAGTTCCTTTGTATTCCAAAGAAATATTGAGCCATCAGCTGAACTTGTAAAAAATCGACTACGACTATAAAAGTTCGCCTAAACCAAATTTCAAAGAAAGATTTAAATGGGAACTAATTTGGATTCATTACTTTCAAAACTTCTCCTTCGGGCACTTTCAATGTTCCTAAAATACCACCGGAACGGACATCAAACACCGATACAGTACCCGTTGTAAATCCAATAACAGCTGAATGTGCATTTGGACTAACAGCAAGTGTTTTTACTTGACCTTAATATTTAAATGTATTTTTTTGTTGTTGTTGTATATTTATAAGAAAATAAAATTTTTCTCACCACCTGTACCTAATGTTGTTTTCCATTCATAAGCTAGAGTTTTTGTTCGAACATCAAGGAATCTAAAGTAAATCAAACAAATATTTAAAGATAAATACAGACTTCTGTTCATATAACATGACGCTCTTCCGTAAAAAATGATTTTAAAAAGAAAATACAAAAAAAGATTTCATAATTATCTCGATCATGCATTTTTACACAACGTTTCTGACACGATCTAAAACATATGTATTAATTAATCGTCTATAGTTTTCACAGAATTCTATAGCAAGTTCTTTTGTTTTTCATCCATGAATCAGCTTTTAGAGATTCTTTATATTACCCAAGATTTCTAGTCATGATTACCATAAATCATATCGGATTATGGAATAGAAAAATCGATTCAAAGTTTTACTAAATAGCGCATGTAAAGTAAAGTTGTTCAATACTCATGTTTTGAGTTATATTGTCGATGGCTAACACATTTTTTAGGGGAGCTTGATTAGACGATATCCTTATTTATATAAGGTATAAATTATTTCTTTGGAAAATCATATAGTAAATTGATCTTTCGAGAGCGATGTTACTCTTGAAAGAAATACAAGCTTTTAGAAACACTAAGATGATAGATGATATCAACATGTACTAGATAGAAGAGAACTCGAGTGAAGATAACAACAACACTGTAGTAGAAATCGATACTAGATCGTATCATTTATCGACAATTCAAAAGAATGATATCAAAGTATTAGATCTTTTCTCTCTAAAGTGACGTTTGCCATTGGAATATCATATTTTATTGCCGGTATAGTTGGCATAAGACTTTATATAGAATAGAATGATTCTCATTTTAAGTAAAAGTTGTTCACACTATGTCACTACGAAGGACACGTTGAAATCAGTTACCTATTGAATCAGAGGTGAAAAACATATGTAGATATCAGTTGCGACTCTATGAAGTTACTATAATCTTTAATTACAATTACGGAGACTTCTATCTCACTTGAAATGTAGTCTTTGATAAAAAATAAATCATTTACAATTCAAAAGACAACACAATTGTCTATTTTCTTTTGAAAATATTTCGTTTTAAAGACTATAGTCTAGAATCCAAAGCATATCATTGAAGATTTATACTGGGATTTACATACCTGACTATTCCATCACTAGTTGCTGCTAAAATATTTGTACTAGGTGCTGGCATAGTAGCCATTGCCGCAAATAATGAAGTTTCTTTTGGTTGTGTATAGCGAAAAACTACTTGACCACGAAATGGATCTAAGACCTATTGGTAAGTTTTACATAAAAAGGTCGTTAATAATTAGTAATGTAATATCAATCATTTACATGAATGGAGCCATCACAGATTGCTGCTAATCGAATACTTTCAAGAAATGAAATAGCAAAAACTGATCTACGACAGCCATTATATGACCATCGACTTTCAACTCTAGAAAGAGAGCGACACAAAAGTTCGCATAAATATTATTCAACAATTCTTTTAAAGACAAACTTTATTGCATTATCATTTTGATTTTCTAGCTTCCAAACTAACAATTTTTGATCTCGGCCACCACTGATAAATGTTGATTCATCATCAAGTACACATAGACTACGAACAGCACTTGTGTGACCTTGATGTATAGCTTACTAAATTTTAGTTTCTTCCAAAAATAAATATTTATTACCAACAAATGATTGTAAATGTATTTGTTTAAAACTTAATGGTGCATTTTCACTACGACCTACTTCGTGTTCCCAATATGATAGCCAATTTTTACGTAGAAATCGACTTTCATCTTCATAGTGACTAAATATCAATCAAATAGAAATAAAATTTTAGAAAAAATCTTTACTTTCGAATATCATGGTCCCGAATCGATATAAGAACATCACTTGCTGATATTGAATCATTTCGAGATAGTACTGGAAACAAAAAGCTTGCCGTTCAATAGAGGAGAAAAAAAGAGAAAGATAAAAAAAACATTTACCATCTGGTTTCGATGTTAATTCTGCAATCCAAGCATAAATGTTATCATTTCTTGTCACTAATGAATTCATATGTTGACTAGAGAAAATAATTGAAGACAAATCAATTATTAGCAGCAACAAAATTTCGAGGAATAAAGTTTTTACTCTCCACATAAACGACAAAATTGAACAAATGCTGTACATGCTAGTTCACAAGTGAACGTTGCATCGATTTCTTGCTGTATTGATTCACGTGTATGAATATTTGTTGATGATGAACTATCGTCTAATGAATTAAGGAAAATTAGTTTTTAAAATTATTTGTATCATTTTTCATGCGTTCATTTTTTTTTGTCTCTCTCTCTCTCTTTCTGTATACCTTCTATATATTGTGTAGTTAATAAGCTATGGCTAGCACCTCGTACTTGTTTACTATTGAGACTAAGTGGTTTTGCTGGTGCATCAATTTTATACGATTTTGTAATGCTATCGATAGTTATTCGACAATATTCGTCACCATCCGTACTATTCGTATTTGTAGTATGGCTGGATAAAAATGCTGGAGAATGTGGGCGATTTGCAGAGGAACCTACGATAAGATAATTAATTGTTTTGAAAGCAAAAGAAAATTATTTTATTTTATATGATCTTACTAGGAACTGAAACTGTGCGTGATGGATTTGTATCATCTATTGATTCATGAGTTGATTGAAAGCAGGCGAAAAATGCTCGAATCGAATCATTCATATATAAACGTGTACTTTCATAACCCAAACGGAGACTTAATAACAATAATATATCGAGCACTAAAAGAAAAATGAGACAAACGAGTGTATATGGTTTTATGATCATGTTTCAAATATGAAAGATATAAGAAAAAGATATTTATGTATCTTTTCTCATTTTAAAATTTTCTTGACAAAATCGACTTATATAAAAAAACAAAAAACTTAATTGATTTTTCAACAACTGAAATTTACTTCGATAGGCACATATTGAGCGAGCTCGTTCAAACGATGGAAAATGTACAGAATTTGATGAAAGTAATGTAAGACTTGAATGAACTATTCGATTTTTCAATGGTTCCTAATTTAACAAAGAGAAAAAAAGCAACTAATTATAGCTTTTCAAAACAGACAAAAAAAAACAGATTTATATTTACTGCTAAATTAGTCATCAATGTACTATCACTCATATAGGGAAGAATTGATTTCAAAAGAACAATAGAACTCAGCAATGCTGATTCAGTACGAATCGTTAAACGATTATTGGCTACTCGAATCTAAAAAATAAGAGGTTTTTGGTTGTTTATTTAGAAGTTTAGGCAAAAGAAAAATAATTCAAACCGTTTCAATAAGATGTGGAAAATAAAAAAGAAGAATAATTTGTTCACCATACTTTTGAATCAGGGATAAAAGACAATCAACAACTTTCTTTGCATTTAAATCACCACGTACAGGACGAATACTTTTAAATGGATTTTTATCCGATGATAGCAATTGTAATTGATCATCATCAACATAACACAATGCAAGCATTCGAAGTAAATGTCGACCAAAATATTTACAACCAAGTACTGGACCTAGTTTCAATTGTAAATAAGTAATACTTTCAACAGCTGCATCCGATAGTAACTTTGAAGTATGTGGTTCATCATTTGCCTAATAAGACAAGAAAGAAAAACTAACAAAGATTAATTAAAAACAATTAGTTATCTACTTCTAAAGCATTTGTATCATAATCTTGTGGTATGATTGTATCCGATCGTTCATTCGTAGGATCATCATTTTCAATGTTTGAATCGCTTGTATTAGTATTATCATCATCGATTTCAATTTTAAGATTAATTTCATCTTTAAAACCTGAACATGCTTCAATAAGTAGTATTGGAAAACTTTGTAAAAATTTTGTTAAATTAAAACGTGCTATTAATTGTGTTATAAAACGACGTGTAAAACAACGCCAATGATAAACTGTTGTTCGGTCTGGATTTAAAGCGGATTGTATCAGTGATAATAATTGTCGTCGTGATTCATCTGGACCAAGAACAACTGATATAGGATTAAATAGTGAGTAGATACAACGGACACCATATATTGGTTGACGAAAAGCATGAAAAATATAAGGCATTAGTAATTCATGACCTTGTTGTGTATGTAAGGATAAAAGTAATGATGGAACTTGTGTTAATAAGAGATATAGTTTATTATCATGTATTTGTTTCTGTTGATAGGATGTTAAATTCAATAGGAGTTGTTGATCAAATTGTTCGAATTGATGAACAATTCTATAAAGTTCTTCGAAGTAAAATGGAAAAGGAAAAGGTCTAAATGAAACAAAAATTCATTGTATTATTTTTTTTTCCTCAATGAAATGCAACTCTAGTTTCATTTTAAATTCGTATGGAGAACTGAACAGCAAAATAATGAAGCAAACGTTCAATATTTTTTTACCAGTCACATCTATTAGTATCTGATATCTATTTGTTACTACTAGAGACTAATATTGATAGCTAATACCATCGAATAGTTGTTCTAATTTTTCTCTGATTAACAACTTCAAAAGATGCAAGTTAATAAACAAGAAGATCTAATTGATACAATACTGTGCCGGAGGTTGTTGAAAGGAAATGAAAGTGAAACTTCATTGATTCAAAGTAAATGTAACGAGCATTGAGAAGTATGGTGCTTCAATCATAATTTATATTAATGAAATCTTGTTTTTCTTACCATGAACTCTTGAAAAGAACAAGGTCACTCGTTCGTCTAGACTTGCTGTTTGTCATATGTGAACTTCAACGCACACTCGGTCTATTATATGTCGAACTGAGTTCTTTCTTCATGATTCATTATGATTGTATGAAAAACTCGATAATGCTTTCCAGAATATATAAATATATTTTTTTAGCGAAACGCATTAAGATATCAGGAACATGTATTTTAACATCTGAATAAAGTTTTATTCTTTCTTTTTTCGGTATATCTAAACAATACATATTATTCAATCCTTCGTCAATCCAAGCTGATTGTATTCAATCGAAACATAGAAGGATGACTAGATTCTTTTTAAAGTCTAATTTAAAAAGAATTCTTATCTTACGTTGTCCATCGATTTAAAAAGAATGCCACATTAATTGCACGATTTGAAATTTGTTGTTGAGTATTACTTTCATTTTCATTCGATAAATCCAATAATAGTAAGCTTAGACATGTACGAAATGGCCTAGAATAATAATTGAATCAAATAGATTGAAATTCTCTTGTTCTATGTTTCTTACGTAGGAATAAGATGCCAATTATTATTTAGCAATTGTTTAGCTGTTGCTAAACGTTGTGGACCATTCGAATTCGCTGATATGTAATGTTGTTTACCGAGTAAAATTAATTCTAATAAACATACACCGAAATATTGTAAATCACGTTGACACGCATGAAGAAACGTTGATGAATATTTCAATACCTAAGGATTAAAAGAAAACACAATATATTTTCAAAATTGAATGTCATTTATTAAATATCTACTCGATTATTCAAACTTGATGATGGAAGTCTACCGAATGATATAGAAGTTAATAAAAGTAACTGTTCAATAGCTTCCAAATGCGAAAATGTATCATTTAATTCACAAGCAAGTGACGTCGAATCATTCGATCGGCTATTGCTTACACTTGATGGTGCTCTAATTTGAAATAGAATAAACCGTCGAGAAAGACATTTTCAATATATATATAATAAATAAGAAACCTTATTTTTCTTTGTTCTTCATCGAGCAATGTTGGACGACGCGTACTTGGTATCGAGGCTAAACTATCAGTCATTTGACGTGTAGATGCAAGAAAACGTGCAGGATCTAAATAAGTAATTGTTAAGAAGAATAGACGTAGCATTCATTTTCATACGAGGTTTAAGAAATAATTGTACAATGCCTCCATTACGTAAATCGTCGTGATGATCAACTAATGGTAGACAAACATTTTTTGCTTCAACTGCACTTTCACCAGTTAACTATTACCAAACATAGAATACGATCGCATGAGAAGAATAGGAGAAAAATAAAAACGAACTTTATGACCAAATATTAAATCAATCCATAAGTGAAGATTTTCTGATACTTCACGACTTTCCAAAAGTTGCCGATGTTTTTCAACAAATTCTTCTAGAAAACAAAAGAAATTTTTTGAAAAATTTTATAAAATTGAAAATGCAAAATATTAACTAGATGTTGACAATTTCGGTGTTTTGATCGCTCTACTCGAAAACTCGTTTTAGATCATGCTTCAGAAAAGAAATGCGAGCGTATATGAGACATGAAACTTAATATAAAAAAAATAAAGACCTGGACTTGAACACCAATCTGGTACAAGTAAATCTGGTAAATCTTCATGAATTGATTGAAATAAAGATGCATCATAGAAAAATTCTGGTATACATTCTTCTGGTGTCCAAAAATATAAACGTCCTATTGATGACGGATATTCATTTGGCACCCAAATTGAACGAACATTCTTCGATTTAGAAAAACAAAAATCATATGATTCATATGAAATAAAAATTTAATCATATCTTACTTCACATAAAACTCGTTTTTCTGTTCGACGTGCTTTATAAACATGATAAGTTATTGATGAAAGATGTTCACTTAAATGATGCGGTACAATATTTGTTGTTGCTGATGATACTGATGATGAATAGTAGTTATAGGTTAAATCAAGTTGTGGATCTCCTATGAAAGAATTCAACGATAAAAATGCAAAAACAAAAGAAATATACCTTTATTCAATCGATATTTTGATTGGGATAAATCTCGAAGATTACATGTTGAACTTGTAAAATCATTTATCCATGGAAATATTAAATGGTTATTTGGATCATGAAATTTTCGGCCAGCTAAAGCATTTAATATTAATAAATAATCAAAATTGGATATATTTCCGAGTTGCCATTGTTTAATTAATTCAACTATATCAATATGTGTTCGACAATATGTTTCATAACGATGTTCAACATGATAAACAGATGAATGTGCTATTGGTGGTGATGTTGTTGGTGAAATTTTTGTTGTTACAACTAATGATTCATCATGGTGATCTGCTACACGATTTTTTTGTTTTGATGTAGATGAAAGTGACATACTATTTGCACGCGATCTGGGTTTTGATTGTGAATTATGATGATGATGATGATGATCATCGTCAGTATTATTATTATTATTATTATTATTCGGATTTAGTGTTGTACCACCATCTGAACTTAATTCAATAGTTGCTAAACAAGAATGAAAACGAGCTTTCAATTGAATCCAATATCGTTCATTTATATGAATATCTGTTAATTGAAGTGGACCAGTACTAAGACCACGTTGATGAACGAATAATATTGTTTTGAGAAGTTGATAAATTATAAATAAAAGACGTAAATGAGAACCATCAATAGCATATGGAGAATACGTTGACAGATCGCGAAGTGTATAAGACCATGATTCGTAAGTAAGCGATAGTGTTTGCTGAGTTAGAACATAATTTTCTAATGAAAATATAGAAATATACGAGGCTCAATTCATTTCATTTCAAGCGCTATGGATAAATTATTGTAATGGAGCATGAGCAAAGTCAGTATCGTATGGATTCTATTATTGATCTCTTGATCTATTTGCATATTATACGTATCGAGCATTGAGACTGAATACTTTAAAGACTCGATTATTCTTGGATCTTGTTGTATCAGCGCTCAGAGAACGGTAACTTATAATTCGATATACATCAAGATGATCAGTTATCGTCAATAGTTCAGCGATAATAATCGAATTCTCTAATGTATTGTATTCAATGATAAACTTTTATAAACTATTGAATTGAATTATCTAGATAATTTGAATTTCTTGATTTTTAATTCTCCTCACCGTGAAATTTCCATTCATACATATCATGGATTGTAATTCAAAGTCTGAACTGTGAAACATCCGAATACTTATAAGTATGCCATCTAGTACAATTTCGTAGTCGCATTAGCGTTTATCGTTACGATTTAGAAACTATTACTCAAGTTAAAAATCGATGCTTTGGCAGTATTTGCATAAGAATTCATTAATGTCAAAGATTGCGTAGATTATTAAATGACACTTACTTAAAGGGAATATATTTGCTGTTGATGATAGATACACATCAGCATTTGCTGGATCCAAATTATACAAAAGTTCAATAGCCGCTAATAATGCATCAGAATGAGACTAAACAATGAAAATAAAATTTTGTTTTCGATCTAGTCAGTTTCTTTTTCACATAAATACATACACATTTGACTGTTGAATCTGTTTCCGTTTGAAAAAGCGGTAAAAATAAATGCCTATAAATATGTCTTTCGTACCATTGTAAGATCATGCGTAAGGAAGCATTTCCTGTTAATTGTTCATCAACCGCAGTATCAGTAACTTTACTACAATATTAATAATAATCAAGAAGACAAAAATTTAACTAATATTCATTTCTTACATTAAAAGTGGCCCATCATTAAGGAAAATTTTTTCAGTTATACTTGACATTTAAATTTCTTTCTTTTTTTCTAATATTCTATGATAATAAATAGAAAAAAAAACAACCGAATAAGGATACTTTAGATGAATACTTGATTGAATATTTATTTATCTCTGTGTCTGGTGTAATAGATAAGAACAAAAAAATTTAACAATAGTTTATAAAAACAAAAAAAAACAAAATTAGTCACTGGGATCCCACATATTTCCATGAGAATCTGGTTTATCTTTATATGCAACATCGACTATCCATGGTTTATCTAGAAAACAAAAAGGTAGTTAAATCATAATAACAAAGTTTACATCGAATAAAAAAAATTAGAATGTACCTGAAGTTTGATATTTGACTGGTGGTAAATCGTATGGAATTGGAAATGATGGAGAATCAGGCAGAGAAAATGTTGCCTTTGAAAATTGCTTCGGTGTATATAAAACACCTATTTCATACCTAAGAAATTTAATTACTCAAAATATTCAAATGAACTTCGGTTAAAGATGATTAGAAACAACTTAAACAACAACAATATATTTCAGACTGTTCTTCTACATGTAGTTCTATCTAATTCATTCCGTAGGGAAAACATCAACATTTCTAAATAATCGAAAATTCTAGTACCATTAATGAGACATCATTTTTAACAATACACTTATAGAGCATGCAACTCTATTAGGACTATCGTGACAAAGATTTCTAGTGTTTGATTTTGTTCAGAATATTATGCTCGTTGGTAATATATTAAATTTCTTTCCTACATTCGAGCTAATTTCTTAACATCGTAGAAAACGATTCAAAAATATATCGCTACCAGAAATTGTTATTCTACCACATTACTTACGATCGAATCATTAATTGTGTATTATTCTTTTCTAAAACACCCCAAGCTATGTAAATAATGAAACAAGAATGAAATTATTAAATGAATTTTGCCATTTCTTATTTATATAATCGTACCAGCTTTTGACAAATTTGCACTGGTGACTAAGAACCATAGTATGTCTTTAAATTGATCATTTGTTGCTCGTAGATATGTTTTAATATGTGGTGAAGCTTGACTACGATGGCGATGATCTGCTTTCCATCGACTAAATTTTTTCTTCATATACTACACATAAAAGATAATTCAATAAACATACTGAAGATAATTAACAAGCCATGTTTGTCTCATAGCATTTTGCATGTTCTTATCAAATAAAACAAATAGTTGTTTGAAGAAAAAGAAAACAACCACAACATACATAAGGCAAACTTCCACCAGCCATATAACCTTCTAATGATGTGCGAACATTTTCAACAGTTGGATAGATTAATTTTAATTCTGGTGATTCTAATGAAGATGAACTAAGCTGTTTGAGTGATGTAAGAAATTCTTTGGTTAGCCAAGAATTTGCATTTGGACCTAAAGATCCAATACTTGAAAACTTGAATGAAAAATATTTCAATTAGAATTTAATTAGAAGAAAAAAAACTGATAAGGATAAATGTGTAACTTACTTGTCCTATAATTGGTGATGAATTATATTGTTCATCTTTGTCAAGATTAAGATAATTCTTTAGAGTCTAAATCAAATTTTCTAAATTCTATTTGAGTGAATTCTGAAAATTGATTCTTTACTTGACGAAGTTTTAAGTGACCAAATTTATTTAGATCAGGTCCTGTATGACGACCAGGTGTTGAACTTATTAGATGAACACTAAAATAAATAATAGCAAAATGTTTTATCAATGAAAATCGTCACAGAAAAATACAAAAAATTATATATATCTATATAGGTAATATTAACCTCTCTGCTAATTTTAAAGCAATGAAACCTCGTTATTTCTGTTTTTCGCCTTTCTATAGTTGAATAAATAAGTTTTCCATAGAATAAAATACTTCAGTCTATTTCTTAAATAGCTACATCATTTTATTGTTCTTAATCTATATAAACTTGATTACTATTACTGTATCATTCATCCAAATATATATATATATATATATTCATAAACATTTCAATTTTGTTCTGATACGAGACTGTTTTATACTGATTTACTGAAATTCATTTTTAAATACATGATACAGTATCGTGTTATTCTTTTCATTAGTAAATCAATCTTTTATATTGTTTATTATATAGTATTGGAATATCATTGTTTCCCCTTGATACGTGAAATTGTAACCTTCAATCAACTATACACTTCTATGTACATTTAACCATAAATGATGAAGAGAAAGAACAAAACTACACGTAATTATATTTATTTGGAGCTGTTGAAATAGTTATGAATTTGTGCAAACAATGTTTAGACTACACAGGTGTTCATTCTATTCACCATTATTTAATCTAGCATTTTTTCGAGAACCGAACAATTACACGGTACAATGCTTGCACAATGACGTAACTGTGAATTTATAACTTCTCGACATTGGAAATAAAATCTTATACAAATATTCATATTCACACGCAAGCGTCTTTTCGAGTGACGATTCTTTCAACTTACTTGATACTACTAAAATCATGTTCATTAATAGTTTTCTGCCAAAATTGTAGTTGTCTAGCACGATATCGTTCAATATATTCAAGTAAATCTTTTTTGAAATTAGTTTTCGATTCTCGATCATCGTTCGTTTTTGGACAAATAGGACTAATCCAGATACTAAAAATTGCAGAAAAAACAACATGAAATGTTTTGTAGTTGTTTCGATTATAGAACAAGAAATAAACTTACCCTTGTGTTTTTTGTCTCCAATCTTGTAGAATGAGATTTGCAGTATGAATCACAATACGTAAACCGGTTTCGTAGAGTAGAAACATCATTTTGGTGTGATGTGTACCGAATGGGATATCGAGACGAGCTGGACAAATTTCAATTTGTGGATATGGTGAACATTGATTTTTAATTGACTGATTATCATGTCGTGAATCACCATGAACAATTAATAATGGTTTTAATCTAAGATAACACTTGATCGTTAAGTTTGATTTCTATTATGTTTCTCATAAGAAAATATTACCGAAATTCAAGTGGATATTGTTCAAGTAAAAATTCAATATCAAACATATAATTAAATTGAGCAGAACGAATAAGTTGACCATGCTCAACAGAAAGAATTTCTAATGAGAACATAAGAACAAAGTTTTTCTATAACGGAAAATTATTAAATGCTCGAAAGGATACCTTTTAGACTAATTGCGTTCTGTTGATTATAATTATCTTGTATTCCATGTACAGTAGAAAGTAGAAATCGATATGGTTCACTTTGATCAATTTTATTAACTGGTGTTAAACGTTTGCTTACATTTTTGGTCGTCGCTGATGCACCTGTAGCTATAATAAAATGGTTTTATTCAAATTGGTTTTTCTTCAAAGATCTGAATTTTCTCATTAGGTTCCTCGGAGCAAAAATTTTTTTAATCGCATATGAATATATATGAAATAGAGTTCTTTCATTTTGCGAATTAGATTGTAAATAGCTCGCAAACCTTTTCAATTAAAATAGCAAGATTTCAAGCTAACGGGGCGACATAATTTCAGGTCACCAAGGACCTAAAATCGCCTGTGATGTCACCATAATTTCAATAGACACTTCAATTCTTTTGTTAAATACTGATATTCTCCACATATATGTATATATATATATATCGTATTTTTTGCGGTCTATTAACACTCAGTTTCAACTAGTGCTTATTATGTATTGAAATACGAAACGTAACAACGCTATTGCCAGCAATTACATAATATATCGCAATGCACAATAGGAAAAATGTGTTGAATCGAATCTTATTATAGTTTTTTTTAATATATACTTCTAAATATTATACTGGATATGAAGACATTGTTCTCGAAATTCCCATTTTAAGATTGAAAGAAACTGATATTGAATAAAAGGTGTAAAGAGAAAATAGAAAATGTGACTGTTTAAAACACCTATTGAAAGACATTTTTGTTTGCTTATGATGATTTTTATTCGCTGCTTCAAACACAAACACAACCATGGGAAGGGTACAGTATCTTCTTTCATGTATCACAATTTATGTGTGAGTAGTTTCTCATTCTCTTATCTACGAACTATTTTCTTAATTGTTATTCTGACAGATTAATTAAAAGTATATTCAATGAATATATTTAGAACACAGATCGAAGAAAATATTCTCTCGGCAATTAAGAAACTCAGTTTCTTTACAATTCACATTTTAACTACGTATGAGCTATTCTAAAAGCGTTCAGGCATAAATATAAAATGTTTGCTGAGCGTGAAAAAGTCTCAATTCAAAACTAGTATTTACAAAAGTACAAGGATTACAATCATAAGTATTCATTCACGATTACTTCGAAGAAGAAAAAAGTAATTTAGTATTTGAAATTCTTTCTCGTAGAGATTACAGTTTTCTCTAAAAATCAAATAATTTACATGGATGATCATATTCAGCTGTATGTTTTGAATTTTGCTGTCGATAACACGCCTCGCCATATTCACAAGTTTTTTTCTTTGTATTATTTTCATCAACCGATGATGGTATTGATTCTTTGACTGTAGTCGAAGTTGAAGAAGTTGAATCAATCTCTGTTTTGAATTTTTTTGTTTCAATATCTCCATTTAGTACTGAAGAAGCTGTCCGCTTGTTCGTCGTCATTTTATGATAGAAACAGAGGAAAGAAAAGCAAGTCGCTATCTAAAAATTGTAATTTCACTGACAAAACAAAATCGAAAGTAAAAACTATTTTCTTTAATATAAAATACTACAACAATAAAAAAAATATTCAATATTATTGTAAATAAAACAACAAAAGTAAAGATCGAATGGAATAAGTAAATTTTTGTGTCACTAAACTCATTTCATAAGTATGTTCAACTGGACACCACATTTGTTGTAAATACCACAGACTTGTCAAAGCATACAGCAATAAAAGAATACTAGCAAATAGATGAAATATTGTAATTACACAATTATTTCCAATTGATATTAAATCGAATCTTTGATAATAAAAGTTCTAATAGTCAAAACAAAAATTTAGTTTCATGAATATTGGACAATCTGTTTTACCTTTTCGATATCCATGAAATTATTCTTTTTACCTAGTTTGACACATGTAAATAAATTTCATATGAGAAAAGAATCACAGAACATAACGAAAAGAAATGAATAGTTGTCTACCTATAAGAAAAATACCATAAAGTTACATTTATTTTGAGTCATTAACAGCCGGAGCATAGATTCTCTTATGCAAAAAAAACGTGTTTACTTTTTCATTTCTTCGATCAGAAAAAGAAATTATACAAACTCAATTTTCAAGTAAATCAGATTTACAATGATTTGCACAAGCTCAAGAATATCTTACAGTATAAACAATTTAATTTTAGCCACGCGTAAAAATAATTAAACAATTTACAAGAATTTTATTTATTGAATTAGACAAAATTTATTTACTTAAGACATGTTTTTGCATCAACTCTTTAGATCATATCCATGGCAATCAAAGGAAAGAAAAATTTTTATTTAAACAGTTTTACTAAACAAACTATGCTAGATGATTTAGTGCTTTTCATTAACTCGTGTACTTTTTAAAAATTTTCTCCTACCGATAGAATTACACTTTATATCAGTCACACATTCTCGCTACCAGAACTTCTTTGTTTTTTAAATCGGAAGCAAAACTAACTAAGATCATCAGAATATGATAAGTACATGTCAGAAATTCGATAGCACTCGAAAGATATTAAAATAAGAAGAACAATAATATGCAGATGGTAATGTTCTTAGACAGTAATAAATAATATATTATATGAACGCAACTATTTATATGTTAGATGTTCTATACACAGACTCTAATTATCCTTACACTATATAAATTTATCCACAAACAAATTCTAAACTTCTAGGGAAAGAAAATTCTTTCTATGAACTATGTTGACTAAATAACTCAGAAGATCGTTGTCAATATATAGAACAAAAAAAAGAAGAATATGAGGAACAGACATTCATTTATATTGTAGATCAATTTTTTGTGAAGAGTATACTAGAAATGATAATTAATAGCGGGATCCATTCTATTAAGAGAAAATGTCAGCGTATTCGATGTTTGTGCAGTCAACGTTCTTCTTTACTTAAGTAGCAGTCTAGTAATGTTTTTTTTTTCTATTTAAATATGGGTTCTTTCATTATTTTCTATTCTTTCTTTTATATGTAACAGAAAAAAGAATATACTTATCGAAGAAAATTAAAATGTTCTTTTATAAGTTATAATTCTACCGAATAAAATTCTATTCATAATGGCGCTAACAAGATTGCTTAAAGAAACTGCTTGTTTTGTACTCAACAAAATATATAACAAGTGTTATACTAAGTTTATTTTTTGTTGTTCTCTGTGTCAGTTCATTTCCAGGAGAAAATCCCACTATATATATTACGGTTATAACTTTCTACGAGGAAAATTCACAGCTTCTTCTATTGATATTCAAAAGGTCATTATGAAGGATGATGAGAAAGAAGGTCGTATATATGCTTCTTAACATAGTTTGGTTGGTTCTATTGAAATCAAGTAAGAAATGAATTTTGATAATATTAAAAAAATTTATTTTGTATCAGATCTTAATGAATTCTTCGATGAATTTCATTACTCCCTACTGCTATGATGAGTAAGATTTTGAAGTATTACAAAATAAATATCAATCAAAACAAAATCGATGGAGAACCGCAATCTTAGAATATTATTATAGGTAATATTGAATTTCATTTCAACAAAATAAATCAACATTTTTCAAGAGGAATGATTGAAACGACGACATTTTTTTCCAATAAGATATCTGGAACGTGATAACTGAAACTGATGCAATAATTATTAGTATCAAATTGAACGAAGAAATAAAAATCACTGGCTAGCAGTCAGTGACTACTTGTAATTATTTAAATAGTAGATCGTAGCTAGTTGACTACGAAAACATTTTTTTTTTGGTCAGTCTTAATATCTCATTATTTTTCTCAAAGCTGCACTCTCACATTTTCTGCACAAACTTTCTTGGCTACATTTCTATAGAAATTTATCGAGCAAAGATAAATAAAAGAACCTAACATTTGCCAAAAGGTCATTTCTCTATATAGAGAAGACACTTTCTCTCGGGGAGAGATGTTTGCATTGCAGTGAGCATTAACTGTTTACACCGTTTCCTTATTTTGAATAGGGTGATAGAAAACAAGAGCACTTAGAGGCACTTAATAATCTATTGATTTTTCTCTTATTACTTCTAGATATAATTTAAAGATAAACGAATTGTTAAAAGTATATTTGTTAAATTTGATCAATTTATTTGTCTAGTTGTTATTCTTCAAATACTTATAGAAAAATATATAGGATAGAGATTTTGCGGAAAAAGCCATGATGCATCTCTTTCGAAAAGGAAAACATCAGAGAATAAGACTCGAGGAAAGAAAATATTATTGTCAACATAAGAATCATATCATTCGTTATGATTCATATAGTACGAATACACATATAGCTCTTGAGATTAAACAGCCTGTTCGATTTACATGTCAACATATACACAAACTTATGTCCTTATTTTATTGACGATACAATTTTATCTACGTTATCGTCTCTTTATTGTGACAAATTAGACAAACGTGTAAACCATAATACTAATACATCTTCTGATCATTCGCTATTATTTATATCACATTTGGAAATATAATATAAATAGGGGTGGCACGTTAACTTTAAATTTTTAAAGTAAAGTTAAACTGCCACCCCTAAACAAATAGATTAAATATTAATTACATTTGTCTACCGGTTTCAAATGTCATTATACAATGATAATTATCTATGATGTAAATTTGAAATAAACTTACGTTTTTTGATTTCTCATGAATCTGAAATTTGATATTGAATATTAGTTAAAGAATCATCTAAGCTTCATAAAAATAAATATTTTATTAAGATATTTTGCGTATATATGTATATACACCTGTAATAAAATTATTATTGTGAGTTTATTAGTAAAATTAAGCAGAAGCAAATGCATGGAATCACAAAAAAAGAATTATTCGTATCAACTTAGAAGAAAGACAATCGTAACCAGAACCACAGTTTACAAAATAAATATATTGTCACGACTAAGAAATCAACTAACTAATGCAAAAGACTAGATATAAAAAGAATATCTTGAACGAGATTAGGTTCATTGTTTGTTCACAGATCTTTCTTCGGTGGTTTATCTGATTCCTAAACGAAAATTGAAAAAAATCAATTACAAAATAAACAATTGAATATATAGAATATTCCAAACGTCTATCAAGGTAAACAACGGGAATCACTTCAGTTAAAAATGTGAATTGTCCATCATTTTATTTGGCTACTTTTACAATTTAGTTTCCTTATAATTTATTTATGCTCAAACTACAATGATACTTGCAAGTCTAAACTTAGTAAACTCTTGAAATATTAGATTAAATTTACTTTAAAATCATAGTATTGTTCTCAATGATTCCTTTTCATAGATATTCGTACATACATAGCTAGTACTAGAGAATTCGATAGCGATGCTCAATCCAATCTATGTGGAACTCATTGAAAACAACCTTTTAAAATTCATATCTTAGACGAACATTTGTCTAGAAAGTAATCTAGGTTATCGGTTGAATGTGATTGCATCTAATTTTATTGAACCACACGTTTCATTCTTGTACAGATCTACAATTGATTGGACAAATATTTTGAAATAAAAAATTATATTTTTACTATCATTCTCATTTCCTGTGCATGTAGCTTAAATCTGACGTTCATTTGAATGAAGTTGTTTGTTCTGATATAGTTTTGGAGAATTCTGTATCGACACACTTACTTGGGCACCTTTCCCATAATAAGGTCGATTATCAATTGTAACTTCTTTACAACGATCCTGTTTTACGAGAAAATCTTTTATTTCAAATGCTTGTGAACCATCTTTTAAAAGAAGTAAAATACGATTATCATCAATAACAAATCTAAAAAGAACAGAAAATTGAAGTTTTAAAAAATGATTTAAAGCACAATTAATTCACCGATTGACATCGTATAAAGCATTTTTTAAACCTGACCACCATATTTGAGTAATTTCTTCAGTTTCTCGTCGTGTTGGTGAACCCGAAACAGTAGCAAACATCATCAATGTTTGTCCTTTTTTTGATAGCTTCATAATATCTTCAGGTTCTTTACCAACTAAGTCTTCTGGTCGAATACCTGGTCGATTTTTACCACGAAGAAAATAGTCTTCTCGTTCATCTTCAGGTAAGACATCATCATCATTGTCCTAAACATGAATAAGCATACAAGAAGATGGAGAAAATATAATTTTATGAAGTAAATGTTACCTCCCATTCTGCATAAAGGCTGTCTGCATCTCTATCCGTGTAATCACGTGGATCTTTCTTGAAATGTGTTTTTTCTCTTTTAAATTCATCATCACCTTTTACATAATTCCATGTATAAAGTAAGGCAAAAACAATGACGAAAATATGAAAGGAATTCATTGAGACTTTCTCTTCTCTGATGTTGTCAATAAAATCTACTACTGATCGTCCAAGGGCATATATTATATTTACACTTTTTTCCTACTATTAATTAAAGGCAGCAAAACATGCCACGCAACGTTATTCAATAGGACAGGAACATACTTAATCGAAGAAAAGTTTTGTCCAATGAAAAACAAGTTTTGATAATATGAGAACGATAATTAATGCCATCTGGGGTTTTCAAATAAAAGCTCACAAATCAATATGAACACATGAAATTATTGTAATTAGATCAAATCAATAACTTCAAAACTATTCTCTGATCTATTATTATAAGCTTTGTATTTGTATACAGAATAGACATAATATGAAGATCAACGACACAACAGAAAAGAAAACTTCTTGCGACTGTGCTGTTCTTCTCGTCAGAAGGCTATCTTATGTCAAGAATGTATTCATCAATTCTGTTACTCGTTCTCCAAAAAAAAACAAAATACACTCAAGCCACCTCTATAAGACGCAGGACACTTTAGGGTTGAATTGATTTTTGGTTATTTAAAAGGTTGACAATTAGTATATGGTAAAGTGATGGAATCATTTAACCAACTATATTATGTTCGCATTCCTATATAATAGCAAAAAAAAATAGCATCCACTTTCTATAGATTATTAACACGTTCTTCAAAAACACCTATTTCGATAGTTGAAACATACTACTGAATTCTAGTCGATTTATGTGATTTTTAATTAAATAAATGTAAGTTTGACATAATCATGAACAAAAATCTGAAGTCGCTATTAAATTATCTTACTGCCAATGTTGATTTGAATCCTTCTTATTTTTTGTTCTATGTTGAGAAAGTAAAGAGAGGATCTGCAATATTGTTGTGATTTTCATTTACTCTAAGTTGTCTTTAAGAATTTTGCAAAACAAAATCAATTTTTTAATAGAATCGATAATTGAAGTATGAAATGCTTTTTTTTCTGAAGTAAATACATACATAAATATTTAACAAAATCATTATATTTTCTGTCGTCTACTGCTTTTACGTAAAAGGATGGCGAGAGATTCGATAACAAAGACAGATATCTAGATAATAAAAGAAAATAAGTTTTCTATTTATACTGTAATGTATTCTATATAAGTTATTCGTCTATTCTTTTTATTTTTCATTTAAATATGAATATATATGGGAAGAATTTCAAGTCGAAACTACGTCATTCACAGAGGGGAAAATGCTTTTCAATTTATGGGATTTTGAAAATCCCAAAAATCCGCTTTTCCTCCTTTGACAAACTGTCTCTTCGTTTATATCATTTAATAGCGCACCAAATAAAACTATGCATCCTGAATCCTCCAATTCTATGGCAAACTCAAGTATTTCACCGAGTCTAGAGCAAGATTCATATTTTCAATCATCGCCTATTCCAGCAGTAGCTGATAATTCACCTTATTAATCTTTCATTTGTACCGATTCACGAAATATCTCGAGTATAACAACACAACCAACTACACCTTCACTTGATTCAAAGAAACTGTATTCAATCGATCATACTCGTGTTGTATCCTCGATGGTCTCACTTCATGCAATGTTACCTAATGGTAGTATATTCACTAAACTTAAAAATACGACTCATGGCTATAAAAGAAAAGATTCTCAATCAACCAAATATCCACAAATGGCAGTAGCAATGCCAAAAATTACGCAACATGAAATCCATATTCTTCAAAGGTATTTAAATAAATAACAGAAAGAACATATATATGAGCATAGATAAATCAAAACAAAAGAAAAAAAATGATGTATTAGTGCATTAATCTACACTATCGAAATAAAAACAACAGAAAAAAAATCGTGCTAAAGCATAAACACACAAACAGGGATTAAGAAAAATCTTATGTAGTATAGACTTTCTAAGAAGCATTAGATACTTTCTTTTTTTCAAAATTCTCCTCTCTGCTCAATTAATTTCTGTCTAGTATAAAGATTTTTGTCAACTGCAAATTAATGGGAATGTTGATGGGCATTCAGTCTATGTTAGATATATATATCAACGAATATATATCCCTGAGTTAACTAAATGGTGAAAACGTAACAAGAACATAGGCACGTCATCCGTCGTATAATTGCTCTCATACGAAACAAGGTCATCAATAATTAACGTAGTTCTTCATCATTACTTTACAATTGGTCCATTCCATTTGTGTAAACATTGCTGTTCATCAATAGTGTGTGTGTGTGTGTGTGCGCGAGCGCTTAATATTACGTAAAGAAAAAGAATAAACGAGAGTTTTTATCACCGGATAGATTAAAATTAAGGGAAAATGTATATTATTTATGAAGATTTTTCTTTTGCTTTGAAAGACTTGCAGCAAGATTACACATAAAAAATAGTAAACTAAACATGTGTAGCATCTGCTTGAATTGGTTGAAATCCTCCTTTATAATTTCGTTGGGATGGACGACAAGTAAAGAACCAAATTAATGTAACAACAAGAAGAATACATAATATTGTAATGCATACTAATGATAATGATATCCATTTTAATGTTTCATTTTTCAGTGCTATTCGACGTTGTTCATCGTTGATATTAGCTGTTGTATGAGAGCCAACTATTGTTGATGTTAAATCGATATTTTCGTCATAATCATATGCTATTTCATTTGGATCCATCGGTTTATTTACTTTAAGTGCTGATACATGTGAAATCTAAACAAACAAAACAACAATTGTTCATCTTACTATTAACTTGATATGCTCAATAGTCACTTCTGTATCTGTATTGGATGATTCAATATGTTCATGTTTAGGGTTTGTTTTTGATTGATAGTGAACAGGTGGATGCTTGTGAACATAAGTTGGTGATTGATGAGGTGCTGCCATGGCTATATCATCCATAGGATCTAATGGTACTGTTGTACTAAGCATATTTTCATCCAAAGATAATATACTTTCATCAGTATTTGAATCTTTTTTTACTGGAAAACGAAAATTTCTGACCACATTACATTGACTTAATTGACAACGTTCTTGCTGATTCTCTGAACATGAATCTGTATAGGATTGTTGAGCTTGTTTATTTAATAGCGCTAAAATAAAATCATAAATACAATCACAATATTCGGCTTGCGGCGGTGAAATAGCAATCGATGGATTTAATTTCTTTTGTTTTTGTATAAAGTGTGCTAATACACATCTCGATGATGGATATAATTGATCAAGAATAAGTTTTGATACATCGAAATGTACTAAATAATCTAAATGATCTAATGAATGTTCAGATAGATAACGAGTGTTTTGGCCGAGAGTCAAATATCGAATGCGTGATACATGTTGAAATGTATTATCTAAAATTTTAGAGAAAAAAAAAGAAGTTTTTGTTTTCAAAAAATAAAAACAAAAAGAGTTCTCAAATTAAAAATACCTTTAATTGTTTCAGCATCAAGTTCAACTATTTCCAGACTGATTAAATATTGAAAACCATCAAATGTACGATTATCAAAGAAAAATTTTGGTCGAATTAAATGAAGTCCATGTAAATTTCTATAATTTACAAATGTTGAAGCATTCATTTTTCTTGCCTCATGTGCTTCAATAACCATTGAACGTACTGGATAAGGAGGAAATTCTTCACTTGCAACTGTTTCGACCATTTTAGTAAATTTAGCTGAACGAATTTTCCCATTAAAATTTTGTCTATATGTTTCATTACTTCGTGGTGTTGAGCCTAAACAAATTCGATTACTTTTCTTTTTCTTGTCTGATAGAAAAAAAGAAGAAGAATGTTTTGTTGGTTTTACCTTCAATTGTTAGTTCACCAATGTTTGTATTATTAAATATTTCTTCAAATGAATAGGGTTCAAATGAGGAAGCATGTACAAACATTTGATCAACTGTTAATTGACTTAATGCCATTGGTGAAAATGTTATTTTCCCATTCGATGTTAATTCTAATGTAAAAATTGTTCGATAATCAGAATTTTGACCAAATAATTGATAAAATGAATGTTCATCAAAATGTAATTGAAGAAAATTAGGAAACGATAAAATAACTTTAATTGCTAATTTTCTGTCTCCTCGGTTTGATGATGTTATTCGAGAAAATAATTTCGATAAATCATTAAGAAACATTGAGCTTACATTAAATTCATGATCATAGAATATTAAATGAAATGAATCAAATGTGCGACTATTTTCTTTTGCTTCATTTGTTAATTGAATATTTGTAAAAATTGAATTCTTATAATTATTACATATTAATTGTTCAATTTCACCATTGAATGATGAATGACACTCACATGACATATTTTCAAGAATATTGCATGATTTTGCTCTCACATATATTATGGAGATAACAATAAGAACAATTGTATAGATTATCTGGGTCATGTTTGATTAGTAATGACTAGACAAGCATCGCTCTAAAGAACAAGAAAAACTTGAGAAACATTCATGCGCATTTCATATGAATGGTTGATTTGTGAATATAAACGTGATGGCATGATGGTACTACTAGTTTTGGTTTACGTGTTATCTATAGATGTTTAGAATCTATATACTTACTTATTCCAATGAGAACAAAATGATGATAAACGAACGTATTGATAAAAATAGAACTTTGAAAAATGTATACATATTTCTTCAAATTACGTTTCTTCCTTTTCTTAAATATATTGATGCCCTTATAACAACGGTCTTCTTTTCTTTTAACTACGCTCTGATGCAATGATTGACCATCGATCGATCATTGAGAAGTCTATAGTAAGCATCGTGCTTTGTTCAGTAACTAAATATGTATACTGATATATAAGAATCTAAGCCATAGTACCCTGTAGTATTGTAACAAAGAAGAAGAAAAAACGCCACGCTTCTCATAGTTGTACATACACAAACGATCGATTATCATTAAACAACACTAACGATCATTCAATGTTTGCTACTGTTCTCCTTAGAAAATTTCTCTCTCCCTCTTCATATGCCAATGGCTACTATTTCATTTTAGTTATTATTTGCTTTCTATATGTATATCAATGTACATTTAGTTGAACTAATCTTAAACTCGAACTAGCTAGGCGTAATAAATCTAGTGAGAAAAAAAAACAAAGCATTATATAACTATCAAAAGGAGTCACATAGCCTTGTGTTACAAGGTTTATACACTTATCACTTGAGCCGAAAGAAAAAGAGATACTTGGTTCGAGTTTTTTTGCATTTGATTAAGCTGTATTGCGTCATACCGCTTACGAATTACCTCAAGAACAAAATTGAAATAGAACTACTGTAAATTAGATTACATATATATATATATAACTTATTACTCGAGAGAAGCAGAACAAACTTATTCCAATAAATAGATTGACAAGTTCGTAATAAAAAGAAGCGATGGGGTGCGTATGACAAATGTTAATGGAATAATCATAGACACTGCCATCGGAAATAACTACTCGAATTTCAGCATTAGTACAACCAACTGCTGTGCAAACCACACCTGTCAAAAGCTTTATTTAAAACGAGAACAAAACGTCTTGTTTTATTCTGCTATTATAATAATAATTCTATTATCAACATGTCAACTACAAAACAAGCAAAAATTAGACACATCTGATAAGCACTAATCAATCTATTAGTCTATGCAAGATAAAATAGTTAACCTTGACAACGATATCTTTCCATATACGCTTCTGTTTTAAATAATGATGATGATAATGATAATAACATTTCCCCTCGCTATTATTATTTGACCCTGAAAATATATCTTCTATATATATATATATATATATCGTTTGCTGTTACTCTATCGTAAAATCTTGTTGTGCATGCTTACTTCACAAAATATTTTCCACGTCATATGAAATGTAAAATACTAAGATGCGTCGTTTTGTACGCATACTACTATCAGCTAGATTTTATTAGATAAGAAAGAATAATAGAGAGAAAAGACCGCAACGTTTCTTAAATTACTACGTTCTACAATAACTATCTTCTAATCAATCGTGCATGTAATCGAACTTACATTTAATCCTTCCGAGATTGTTTAAAACAATTTTTAAAGTCCATTGTTAGTATTGCTTTAGCAAATCTCGAGTGCAGGAACAAAAAAGAGGCATTAGACAAAGAAAGAAAAAGTACCTTTCATATTCTTTTCTCATATCAAAGTACACAGAGAAAAAACCTTGTGTGTAAATATACGACAGAACTGTATTTTACATAGAAATGCCCTTGTCAAACTTTGGTGCTCACAGTACAGAATATAAACACATCATGCGTCTCTACTTCTTATCTATTAGTTCAAATGGATGGTATATTAGAAAGAGACACAACCTTATGTATACGCTTCATTTAGTTTGATTTACATATTCGTTCGCACTCTGTTTATATATATATATATCTACCACGAAACGAACATCTAAACATGAAATGATTGTGATCAACTTACTTATATGTTACATTATATTACAACATACAGTTCATTTGTCTTCTGTTCTTCTTATTTAGCCTTGGATGATTAGTAATTACGCTAACATCAGTCAGTAAACGTTTCCTATGTTGTAGCTTCTTTTGCTTATTATATATATATTCTAGCTATTTCTGATGAGAAATATTATTCTATATTATTTACATACAGATACCACAAGAGAAACCAAAAAGAAAAGAATATAAAATGCAACTAACCGTTTAACAAAGATATTGAAAAAGGCTGTCTTGTTTTTATAGAAGCAAAAAAAAACCAAATATTTTTTTTCTTACTCTTTTTATCCGATGCTGTAATAGAGAACGGTCGAGAAGGAGAGGGAGAGAGACAGATGGGAATTTATTGATGGCAAAATAAACGTTGCACACTGTAAAGACAAACGAAGGCAAGTATGTATGCTTCTTCCGTATAGCTAACCTATGACAAGCCATTCATTTCCTATACGGCTAAAGTTATCAGATCATTTAGGTAAAGCATATTGATTGGGTACAAAAGAAAATATCAATGGTCTATAGCTAGCTATTATTTCTACGTGTTGCAGTAACAAGAATGATCTAAGCATCGATATTGTTCTTTATTGAGTTAATAGGGAGAAAAAAAGCCTATAAGAACATTAATCTAAATAAATAAGAAGAAGAAAATCAGAAATCAATAATTCTATTGTTTATCGAGTTTTTTTCAGATCGAATCGGTCATATCAAATAGGTAAATCTGTAGATAGATTTAATAAGAATTTCATGCATTACTAAAAGCTAAAAATCTTATTTGAATAATCAATTACTAATCAATTGAATATCTGCAGGATTGATTCTAGTTCTATTAATATTCTGGATTTTGTCTACGATGTGAATATCTCTAATTTTATCAAACAAATCAGACAGCCGGAAACCAATCATTGATAAGTTAATAAACATTTTTATTAGATTTCTTTATATAGAATTACTTACGAAAAACGTTCTACATTGCGATAAAGATAAATAAACACAAGAGTAATCCCACCAAAATCAGTACTTATTGTAAAAATGACAGTAATATATGAAGCTCCACTAGCACTTTGTGTGGTGCTCCATTAGAAAAAATTAATAAGTCGCTTACGACTTGGTAATATCTGCTTCTTTTTTGGCTGCTCTCTATTTACTGATCATGGATTATATTCATCGGAAATATGATTTCTCGTATACTATTTGTTTCATTAATATCCAAAGTTGTCAGCGTCATTATGATTCGATTTTTCAAAATAATCTCCACAGCTTGACGACACATACCTAGTTTAATTATCATCGTTTACATACTGAATTACCTATACAATCATCATCGTCATATAAATATATGACTTCATTTCTTAACATTATAAGTATAAAATATGCAACTGATGCCTTGTTGTTTCATTTAGTGACTTCATTGGTGCATTTTTCGATGGAAGAAAAATGGCTTCTTGATGTGATTTTCGTCTCATTGGGTCAAGGGACATGAAAAAAAAGAGAAAACTGGTGTCGAATTCCGTTAGAATGTATATTAACTTGAACGAGGCATTTTCTCTTTCTACTAATAAATAATGAAGCGAATGACAAGGGAATTCAGTTTTCAAAATACAATTCAGAATATTAATTAGACTGATTTGAAGACTAACATAAGATCCAAAGAATAGTTGAATATGCTCATGAAGAAATCCATTCAATAAAAATCAACAATAATATAAACATTCCGTTGTATTTTAATTCTAAACGAATAAATAGACCTATTTATTGAATAGAAAAAGAAAATACTTCAAGCAACAATAAATCAATGGAACAAAAGAAAGATTCAAATCTGGTCGGATGGAATTTTAAAAACTAACAAGAAAAGGCAAAACAATAAGAAAAGTTGTAAACTAGAGATTTTGTTTTTTCTTTAATAAGATTTGAACAAATGCATGATCAAGTAAGTGAACAGATGAAAGCCAAACCAAAACTCAACACAGTACTTGAAATGATTTAAAATAACATGTCATTATCTCTAGGTTTCTGTTGTGCTTGAAGCATGTAGAGTTGGAATAAATATGAATAATATTGCATGTCGCAGTGTCCATATTATTTAATTAAAAAGCTAAACATAAATGAATTTCAAGTTTATCGAAAAGCCTTTTATAAATAAAATAGAAGAAAAAAAATTTTCCTTTTACCTATATGGGTAACCTTGATATTTTGATCGAAAAATGGAAAGTATCAAACTGAACAACATGACGACTGTTACAAGACCAATAAATGCCATAATGCCTAGAGCAAAAGAAAAAAACCTTGAATAGTTCAATGTCTTTTACTCTTTTTTCTTTGTTTGGTTTACTTTTTCGTATTCCCCTACGGGACTTAACATTGGGTGCTTCATTTAATAGTATAATACCAATTGAAACTCCAAAATGTGGAAAAAGATACTTATAGTTAAGGAAAATAGACTGTTAGGTTTTTCATAGAAAGAAAAAATCTAAATTAAACGTATTAAAAATTAATAGTAAAAGGATATAGAGTAAGAAGACCTAAAAAGAGACAAAAATAACCTTGATTAGCTATTCATATATGTTGATAAAATAATGATAACAATAGCAGTACAAATCAATGGTTTCAGAAACAGACAATTCAATCAGAGTTTATTCAATACTAATGCATAATATATATCATGATTGCTTTACGGTCCTAACTTCGATCATTCATTGATCTTCTCAAGGTTCATTCAAAATAAAACTGCTGTAAATAATCAGAGTAAACGAATATAGAATTTGATTTTTGTTTTTAAATCTTAGAAAAACTTTCATTAGACAAAAATAGAAATAACTGGCAGAATTCGATGCATCGATCTGCATAGAATAACGAGCTATCTATTTCTATAACCAACTATTATTACTGCTGATGTCAATGTTAATTATATGTTTACGAACTATGTATGTTTCGGCTACATATTGCATATTTGAGTCGTTTGCGAATAATCCCTGAAAATAATAGACGAAGTTCAATTTCTCTTTTTATTGACATTCATATGTCTAATTACTTTACCATATCAGTTTTACGTTGAGATGTAAATGGTGGTTTGTTAATACGATTCCATGTTTGTCCAGAAATATAGTAACAAACGAGACCCTGAAAAAAGAAAAACGCTTGAAGCTTCTGTCGAAATACAAATTGAATGTAGATATATGGTTTCATTGTTTACTTTCTTTTTCATTGGAAAAAAAGGATATCGAATAATTTGAAAATTAATCACGAGAAAATACTTACGACAGTAATTATTCCCCATATTATAGGGCTATAAAAAATCTTGGGCGTTTCTCGTTTGATGTAAAAAAGAAGAAGTATCGCTGTTATAATTAATACTATAGGCAAAAATTGAGCATAATTTGGTGGACGAATCAGTTGAATCTAAGCACAAAACAAAAAGATTATTGATTTTAATAATATTGTCTTTGTTGTATTTATAGGCTTCGAAAAAAAGTGTTTGAATTTCAAGTGATCATGGTCCAATATTTTAATCATCGAGTATATTTCATATGTTTTCAAAACAAATTCTAATAATCAAAAGTACGAGCACGTCATCGAAATTAATCGTCTGTAGCTCATAATCAGTTAAATTTTCTATAGGAAATAAACTTCAGTTTTAAGAAACAATTCTAAACATCAAAATATTCAGTCAAGTTTCTTTGTTGTTGTAAGATAATAAATGTTGTTAGACATTTTCGATTAGGCACAGACATGACTGATGATTAGTTTACATTCATGACGACTAATTTGCTAGTTTATCTCGCTAAATAGGGACCATTCTTAAAGTGCCCAACATTTCTCCAATGCCACTAATTATCATTCGATCAGTAATGAGGTATTTAGTACAAATAATTGCTTTTGTTGTCGGATAGCACTTCTCGCTCGTCAAATTATAAGTAACGTCCACGATTTTTGATCTATCTGCATAGAATCGCTGAAAATCTAAATGATTTACTTTCGAGATGCGTCTAGATACTCGTACGAGCTTTATTGTCTATTGAAAAATTCCAAAGCTTCCAGTCAAAATTCATATAACTGTGCTAAAGTATTGCTATTCTAGAGAAAGGTCTGTGTAGAAAATATCTTTCTATGAAAAGATAACTTGTTGATAAGAATATGTTTGCTCTGAGTCAAACATTGAGATGTTTCTAGTATTGATAAAAACCATCTGGAGATATGATAATAGCTTGAAACTGGATCATGTAAACTCTCTATGATTTTATGCTCATAGATTAAAAATCGAGTAAAAATATTGTACTCAACGAAGAAAAATTGGGAAATGCAACTAAAATAGACATTTTTACAACTTATCATGTCCAACTCAAGTACATCATTCTCACCCAAAAGGAAAAGATCGAACAGTAAAGAACATTTATTTTCAAGATACTACTCGTATTTTCTAATCGATTATTATTGCTTTTAAATGAACGACTCTCGCTCTATATATATATGTCTGGCTCTATATTTATATTGGTGTAATAGTATAGGACTAACGCATTGCATCTCCGAATAGTTCATCTAAAATATTTTTCATCACTGAGAGTTGTTCTTAAGGTCATTCATGTTTTTGTTTATGCCACTTCTCAACAGATACATATTGTGTCAAATTAATGTCATATTTCATATTGTCATTTTAGTATGCATAGTTTCTTGACTTTCTAATGAACGCAGACTGTCTCTTGATTCCTTTTAGTTGTTATCATGATATCAATACGTAAAAAGCATGCAGAGAGTCCGACAATCTGTCAAGTTAACTCGTCAGCAATCTATGTCAATTATACATTTACAGAAAGCAGATTTATGTGGAACGCGGATGTTTATTATGCCTACATTACTATCATAGATGTTTGTTCTAACAAGGAAAGGTCACCAAGTGTTCAATCACTTTTGCGTTGAAACTACTTACATTACGTAGCTTCCGATGAGTTATGAATACACTAAAAATATTTTGGGCGGATAGCTTATTGTGACTAAACTAGGCCATTTATAAGGTATGAGCTTTTTTGAGTGCCTGGGGTCCCCCTCAGGGATATTAAAAAATTGATGTTCGAATTTTGACTTGAAACTTTTCATAGAAAGACTCGCTAAGGAGAACAATTTGTTGTGAACGCTTCAGACTTTTCTATTATTCCTATCGTTAGACACGGGTATTGTGAAATTTGTATTGTACATCTTTCAAATGAAGTAGCAGATTTAATCAAACAAATAAATTCAATGATCAGAAGCACTCAAGAAACACTACTCTCGTTGAGATGTATTGCTACAAAAATCTCAAGTTAAAATTCGAAAATCAATTTTCGAATGTTCCTGAAGGGGGCTACAGCAATAATTAAAAAATACAATAAAAATAGCCTATTTTCGTAACAATAAGCTATCCGCCCAAAATATTTTTAGCGTATTCATAACTCATTGGGAGCTACATAATATAAGTAGTTTCAACGCAAAAGCGATTGGACACTTGGTGGCCCTCCCTCGTAAGTTTAAAATGAGAATATGCTCGATATCAAAAGGTTAATTCTAGACATGAATATTTTTTTTAATTTGAAATTCAATCTATTCTATTGCATATATACAAAAATCTCACTCGAATATCAGCACGTTCATAGACCCATTTTGCTACTTGTTCAGCAGAGAATTCCCTACTAAAATAAATAAATCGATATAAATACTTGCTATTTTGTTTTCAACTTACCGATGAATATCCATATAATCACTTTTTTTGGGACTCGTTTTAGGTGGAAAATGAATAAATACAGGTGCTGAATTTAATTTTAACTAAGAAAAAAAAATACCAAACATCTGATACTACAATTAGAATATTACATACAGATTGAAATATATCAGATGCATCATCAAAATCAACCATAGCAAAAAAAACACTCTTTGAGAATGCATTTGAATAACGATAACTTCGTGCAACTAATTCATATTCATTATGTGCATCTCTTTAAAAAGAAAAAGAGAGAGAGAGAGAGAAAGATTCAAAAATATAGTAAATAATTCATGTTTCTTACTGGCAAATAGCACATTTTCGTGCTGGAGCTAATGCTGTCAACATAACAAAAACTGAATAATTTCTTGGTTGTGATGTAACATAATATTTAAACCGTTCACTATTTAAACGAATAAGTGGCTTTTGAAGTGACAAATCGGTCAATTGTCCAACTTTTTCTGATAGCACATCCTAAGGTTTTTTAATGAATTTATTGAAATTCAAAATATATAGAGATATTCAAAAAACAAACAAACCTGTTTACTGAGAACTTTCGAAATCATACATATAAAGATATTGAACAAACATACGAAATATTTCATTTTTAATGTTTGTTATAATATCCAAATTAATTAATTATTTTAACAGTAATAACTAAGCTATGATCAATAGTTCGTAGCAGATTTTTATTGGATTCTCTCTGTAATCGAATAGTATACGAATATAAAGCGTATGTGAATATATTTCGATAAATGATATGAAAAATAATACTGAAAAAATATTTCAATAGAATTATATATTTCAACTTTTTATATTTAACTAATTTTTAGACAGATGTCATTGATAGTCGTACGAAAAAGAAAGCATTCACATATTGTAAAGAACAGAAAAATTCTAACATTCAACGAATAAATGGGGTACCATCTTGCTTGATAATTACTTTCTGATTACATATATTGTTTTTCAAAAGCTGGATTTTTATATATTCTATTATATTTATATCTGGGAATATACGATTCGAATCTGGCATGCCCCATTTCTCTCACTGATTGACGTTGTTGATGGCGTGCCAAGAAAAAGAAAGTTTTTCTTTTCGATTAACTAAATAGTATATTTCTTAACTGCTAGTAACATATAAGAAACTTTTCTTTTCTTTTCTTTTTCGTTCGATATAATCAATAAGGGACATGTTTACATTTACTATTCATGAACATCGATTTCATTCGAACTTTGTGGCGTGTACAAGTTCGCCTTTCTCTTTGATAGTAATAGAAAAAATCATCGTTTATCTATTTTCTTTGCCAGAATATAAACAACGACAATCATTCAAATCGTTATTTCTTTTATTTTATTCACTATCGTTACTATTTCATTATTGATCTACATAAATCATGCCAAACTATTCAAACTCGTCGTTCAATTCGGTCGATTGGGCGATGGGTGTTGATGGTAATATTCATAATTCTATTGTTCATGGTAAATGTATATATCGATTTTTTTCAGGCTTTCATCCACTAAAAAAACGTAATCTTTTGGAAAATTTACAAGTCATACCAGAGAAAGTTCCTCCAGCACCTATACCACCACCATTTCAAGATTTTCTTACGACAACGAATACAAAAAAACGAACACACGCAAGTTTAAATGTTTCTAGTAATACAAGTGATAGTAATGTTTATCTACCACATCAAACATCGTCACCATTGCTTGATCATACAAATTATAAGTATGCTAAAATTCGTGCAAGACCAATTTATAATTTTAAATATAATGAAGCAAGTATTTGGACACAACCTTCATCGAATTCAACACAATTTTCATTCAATAATCTTCAATTCGATGTAAAAATTGTTAATAAATTTTTTGCTAAAGAAAATAAACAAATCAATGATAGTAATCATGAAGAACGTTCACGAAATGGATCGATAGCAATAACAACTACACGACCATTTCAAATACTTGATAAATCATCACAAATAACTTATGATGTAACGATGCGACATTTACTTCAATTATTAAAAAAAAATACTGGTAAAAATGCAACTATTGATGATGTTATTCATGGCATTGACACGGGAAATATCGATAGTGAATGGTAAAGTTTAAAATCTAAAATCAGATGTTGTGCACCTCGAACAGATGTTTTACAAACTAATAAAAAGAGATTTTCTTCATTAGCCAATATTGATATGAATAGTACACTGCTTCTGCATGATGCATAAGAATTTCAACAAAGTTGAATTGTAAATTTTCATACAGTATTAATGAATTCTAGTATTGATTTTGACAGTCAACCGTCACTCAGAATATAACACTGCATTTTCAATTAGAATTTCATCTACGTAGATGATTTTTCGTGATCGAAATGAGTGGCAATATAATTGCTATTAAACATTTACTTTTTCTTTTTTGGATTATTCACATTCTTAAGCATCATTTTTATCTTTAAAAAACGTTTCTGTTATTCAGATTTTTTTCTTTTTTAATAATTTTTGTTTTTATCAAAAACTAAGTATAGCAGTAAAGAATTCTCTTTTTCTTCTAGTCTTCAATGTGTTCAACGTTTAAATAGTACATTAAATAAACATTTTGAAAAACGACCTGAAGATCGAATAAAATTAGAAACATATAATATAGAAAATTTTGAAAATATAAATTTAGTTGAATTATTTTTTATAAAACTTCTTCAAATACCGAACTATAATTTTAAATTAAAATGTTATCAATATCGCGATGAATTACAATCACAATTAAATTTATTAAGTCAATCAATTGATCGTTTGATTCAAGGCATTGAATTAATTTTAAATCATGAATATTTACCTGGTGTATTTCAACTGCTATGTTTTCTATATAATATTGTATCAAATAAATGTGTACCTGCTCTTGATTTAGTATCCTTAGTTGATGCATTGAATTCACCAACAAATCAAGTAAATAAAACTGTTGCACATGTTCTTGCAGAAATTCTCAATGAAAACTATCCAGATTATTTAATAAGTATAACGAATGATCAAGCATTAGTTGAACTTAAAAACGTTTTCTCAATTAAATATGAAAAACTGTACAGTGAAATTCGAGAAATCTATCAAGAATATCAACAACTTTGCAATGAATATTCAAATATAAAACATAAATATGAATTTCCATTATTTATTTCATCGATGCTTTTAGAAACAAAAATACAATTTGAAAAATTATTTCGACAAGAATTACTTATAAAAAAAGGTGAACAAAATTTAGCGATATATTTCTGTTCAAATGATTTAACAATTGATATTTGTTTATCAACAGTGGGTCAATTCGTTGATAAACTTCGTCTTGCACATATTGAAAATACTAAAGAACAAAAACGTAAATGTTCAACGATTAGTTACCAACGTAAACAATCTGTTCTTCTACCAATGAATAGAGCATCATCATTTTTATCATTTATTTAAATGTAACTTAATTTTATGTTATTTTCTGTTTTTTTTTAAATATGTTCATGAAAATTTAAAAAAATATTTGCGGTGTTGTTTTCATCTTTTTTTCGTTGTTATTTTGTTTGTGTTTGCATTGCCGAGTTTTTACATGTTTTCTTTTTGTCTTTAACTAACAGTATAGTTTTTTTTGTTCGATGTTAAATACGTTTCACAAGGGAAAAAAAATATATATATATATAAAGAAAGAAAATCAAAGCATGATACGATTTTGCTTGTCATTAATTTAGTTATAAAATAGATTTGATCATTATAAAAGAGAAAAAACAAGTAAACAGAAAAGAGCAAAGAAGAAGAAGAAGAAGCATGCATTGAGCAATTAATAGACAAGAAAAATTTTCACATATTACAATCGTTTAGAATGATTTAAACGCTGAAAAACACTACTGTTCATTGGATTTGTTTTTCGTAAATCAATCGTGCTAGCTGACGTTTTACGTTTAGGATTTAAACTAGTCGATGGAAGAGCAGTAGGTACTGTCGTATTATTTGCAAGAGGCTTTTGATGAGGCCAAGACGATGGTGGTTTTCGGAGATTTTTAGGCGATGATATTGATGTTGATTCGAGACTAGTATTTGAGCTAAATAATCGACGAGTTCGTGGTGATGGTCGGTTCAATGATGCAGATTCATTATTGGTTGTATTTGACATTTGATAAGCACGTAATGGTTTTTCATTTGGTCGAGTAAATGATGAACGAAGAAGTTGATTACTATTTAGAAAAAAATTCGGTGGAGAACGAGTTTTTGTTAAATGTGTAGCTTTTGGACTATTCATCGTTGTTGTAGAAACATTTTGACATGAACTTGCGTGGCCAAGACGAGTAGAAACTTTACGAATGATGGGAGAATATGCACGGAATGATGAGTCTACAACAGACTGAATATTAAGAATTTTAGCTTTCGGTTTAGCCGATGCTAGACGATGATTAGTAATGGTTGTTGCAGTTGATGTAGTTGATGTAGTTGTAGTGGTTCTTGTTGCTGTAGTTGCGGCTGCAGTAAGAGTCGAAGATGAAGAAACTTCATCAGGTTCCATTGTATTTTGTAATGTAAAAGGCTGAGGTAATGATGGTGGTGGAGAAGTAGTAAGAGTTTTTGATGCTTCGTCAACATCTTTCTCAGTCCATATTCTTCTCGATACAGCACAACGTTGTATATGTCGACTTGAACGAATTCCATTAGCTGCATTATTATTATTATTATTCGATATTGATCGTAAACTTTCAGCTGATGGTGTTCGTTTGGAAATTGATGTTTTACTCTGTTGATTTTGTTGACCATTGGAAGTATATGTTGGGTAACTATAAGCTGATGTTGATGTTTTCAACAAACTTGTTGGTCGACCATGAGATAATGATGTTCGTCTACTATTATTACGAATATTACTATCGTGACTTAATCGACGAGTTGAACTGAACGTAAGACGTCGAGTAAGTTCATCAGCAAGAGTCTCATCGTTTGGTTCAGATTTAGTTTCGTTTATTTCGTTGGAAGTTGTCTCGAGTGGACATGACCGTGGAGTTGGTTCAACAGTTTCACTTACATTCGATTGAGTTTCAAAGCCTTCATCTAACGTCTCCGAATCGGATGATAAGGATGGCATTGTGGGCAAACAACGATGATCATCATTTGAAGCATCAGCAGGCAATGATGAACTCGAAGATTGTTGACTATCATCGTCAATGAGATTTGGTATTGATGATAACTGAAATCAATTCATTTTTTAGAAATAGTTTTCGAAAGACGAATTTTCATTTATTTAAGATTAAAAAACTAAGCTTCTTCTTTTTTTAAATCAATAGAAAATTTCCCTCTAAAATGTGTAGATCGGTTTTTTTTTGCTTTTAAATCTCAACATTTTTTGATACTGTTAGTTATTTTTCATTAAGAATTAAAGTGCAGAGACAAAAAAAACAGAAGAAGCAGTTTTTTTTATATACTTACTTGCTGTTAGTTACCAAGAAAAAGCAAATTATTTATGTTTTCGTTAAAGCATTCCTAATCCCCAAGAATTATAACTACAGTGCTAATACTAAGTAATGTTAAAGAATAATTATGCGTGCATAAGTGTTTATATGTTATATTCATCTAGACTGTTTTTTTTTTCTTCAGAATATTAATCATTCATACAAAAAATACGGTGTTATCAACTACATGAAAAGAACGAAATAAATCAAGAATAAAGCTTATAACGGAATCAAAAAAAGAAACGAATGAAACAAAACGAAAACTAGAAATGTGCTGCTTATAAATGGAAAACGGTCTCTGTCTAAAATAAACCAATAACATAAACGTATCACTGTTTCACAAGAAAACCAATAAACAAAAAGAACTAGACAACACATCAAATCAATAACAAAGTTGTTTCAATAACCTTTCGTTCTGATGTTAAAATCATAAATGCATGAAATACATATAAAGAGAAAAAAACAGAAGAAGAAAAAGAAGAAGATTAGTTTGAATCACGCACAACTCCATGATGTCAATGTTCACTTGTTGATTGTTGTATCTGTTTGATATTGAATGCGTGGCGTGATAGAAAATATTATCTTCTTAGATTTGAGAACAATATGAAAAAAAATAGAAATAGATTTTTAGCAACAAAAAAAAACTAAATAGAGATCGTTGATTATGATTTTTCTTTTTTGTTTCTGTTGTTGACATAGTTTTGTATAAATCATCATTAATATTGAATATCGAATTTGATGAAATATATTCGTGTACCAATGAAATAACTAGAAAAATTAGTAGAAGCAAACAAGACAAAGCCAAGCAAACATGAAAAACAGTAACAGAAGAGAAAACAAAAAGACACAAAGAAGAAAAACAAAAGATTTTAAGCAATTAATTATAAGTGTTAGTGAATCAAAGACTAATAATATATTGGATTTTTCAAGATTAGCCTGTATATGCTAGATTTCTTTACCTCAGTAGTATTTTGTACATCAGATGATGATGATGATGACGATGATGTCATTGGTGTTAATGTTGATAGATAATGAGAATTCTCTTTGTTATTATCATTATTATTTGAATATTTCATATGTTGAAGATTTGTTGACGGTGGCGTTATAGAATCAGTATTTTTATAGTCAATAGATACAACTGAATCATTTGGTGTTGATTGATCATTAGATGGATCAAATAGACGTCGTATTGGTGTTGTTAAATAAAATGATGGTTGAATTTCACAAACAGATATAACACGAGCTGTTGAAGATTCATTTGATGGCAATAGATGATCATCGTTAATAGTACTATTAAGAGAATCGATTTCTTCTGTCATCGCCGTTGTTGCTATCGTAGCTGATGTTGCTACTGCTGAACAACAATCCATTTTCGTATCATTATCATCGTCTTGTTGATGATGATTGAAAGTTGGTGAAATGAAAACATCATCCTATGAGAACAAAATTCTTAGTACAATCCTTGTCACATGAAAACCTAGAACATGACATCAGTCCTGTTACTTATCTCGAGATGCAACTGTGGACATGAGCAATGATGATAAACTTAAAAGCATCTATTTTTGAAACTAATCAGAACCGATATTACCTCATTTGTAGTGATCTTTCTAGTAGGAAAAAAATTCCGAAGCAAGTTTTTTTTATAGTGATAATACTTGGTCACTACGTATCTCATATAAATGTGCTACTTTATTGCAATGACTATCGTATTACAGTTCTACCTATTCAAAATTCAAACAGAGAGTAAATCTCAACATTTCTCATAGTTCATGTTTTACAAAAGAAAAAAAAATTAATTTACCGACTGGTGATCTTCTATTACCGTTGTTGCTGGTGTACATAGAGGAAGAGCATTAAATGGTCGTTTGGTAAAAACAGTTCTCGCTGCCGGTGAATGACCACGTTTACGAGGTATTGCATTTGGTAATAAATTTTGTGTGCGAAGTGTTGTGGTTGTTGTGATTGGTTCCATGAGTTCTTCGTGTTCATCATTTGTATAAGAAATATCACGTGACGATCCACAGAAACGTTCACGTGAAGTATTATTAACTTTAAATCGTTGTCTTGCAGTCGTTGGTGTTAATGGAACATTAAGATGATCCCGAAATATATTTGTATCTGAGCCATATTGGTTTTGGGAACTTCGTATTAACCGTGCTGTTGTTGGCGTTGGAAGAAGTCGATTTTCAAATGAACGTTGTTGTTGCTGTTGTTTCAATAATAATTCATTACGACGATGTTGTTCAACATTTTGCATATGAGCAAGACGAAGTTTATCAATAAATTGTCCAAGTGTTGAAAAACAAGTTTCAATGGATAAATCCCACAGACAAAAATAATTCGATAAATCTTTTTCATATTTTTTTAATTTATTTTCGTCATCAAACAACCTCGTAAATACACTTTGTAATTCAATGAGTGTTACTTTAATATGTTCAGGTAAAATAATTAATTGTTGTTGTAATTCTCTTAGTGTAGTATTTAATTGTTTATAACGCGTAAATAGTAAACGTATATCAATATAAATTGGTATATATTTTATTGCTGATAAATCTTTTAACTTCAATAATATTTGATTATCAAATATATTCAATAATGTCGGATATTGTTCTTCCAGTAAATGACAAAGTACATGTGCTAAAGTTGTATTTTGTTTAGGTGTACGTGTTGAAAGTACTGATAAAAGTGAATCAAAATGAAGGCCAGGTATTGTTTTGCCTGTTATACTATTGTAAAGTAAACAAAGTAAATGAAGAATACCCGGCAATTGTTCATTGTTTAGAATAACTTGAACACTTTCAAGTAGATCATTTATATGTTTACTCATACGTTCAAGTTGTGTGGGTGCTTCTTCACGAAATTTCAGGTATATCAATTTAAATTCATATGCTGGCACACGAACAAGTTTAACAAAAAATTGTTCTATAAGTACCAAACCATGTGTTGAACCTTTGTGTGCTAATACACGTGCTTTATCTTCTGGTCGCTTATCAAATTGTTTGTTTAAAGCAGTGACAGCATCGAGCCTAAATGAATAAGAAAATATTGTTTTCGTTTAATTATACCAAAAATAATATTTATCATATATATGCCGATTGCTACATCGAATTTTTCTCTTTGTTTAGATATTTTGCAAGGGCGTGACAATGAAAACAAATGTTTTCTCATTACTCGTTATGAAAAGCTTTATTTCTATGAATACAATTAAAGTATGAGTAGGTGAAATGTACTGAATTGAGAGCGAAGTTTAACTCCGAGATTATTCGAAAACTTTGAATTTTATTCATCATATAATTAGAAAAACAGCTTTCATGACTTTTGAAAATTATTGTTTAACTACTGAGAGAATCTTTTATTTCTCAATACGCAAGCAGTAATGCTTCGACTATTGGAGAAGTTCACCTTGAAGTAATTGAAAACAACAGTGAAATTACATTTAAAAAAACACTGATTTTGATTATTAATTATAGAAAACGAAGTAGATTTTTCTTCTGAATGTAAATATGATATATTTTTCTTTTAAAAATGACTTCTCAAGGACAATGTCTCGGGAAAAAAAATTCCTATTTATGATTTTTTGCTATTGTACTAAAAAATCATCTTTCTTAATAATCAAACAATCGTTTTCATATTCATTTGCTCTATCAAAAAATATCATTTGAATCAACCTAGAATAACAGTTTCAAAGTCAATTCGATGATTTCGATTCAAACGCGGTACAAAGAAGATTTTGAATTGTTGACAACATAAAAATTTCTATTTTGATTTTTTTAGTTATTCGGATATTTGTGAAGCCCTTTTTTTCTATAAATCATTACATGTAAACGATGATAGACATAAGTCAAACATAAGTTGTATTTCTACCTACTAAGCAGTACTTGAGCGACGAGTAAAAAGTGGCTATTGAAAAATCTTAATATTTGAGTAAGGAAGCCTCATGTAAAGTTAAACATTCGCTCATGTTTTTTAAAATAAAATGATTGTATGTCCTATAATAAATAAATTTTAAGTAAAATGAAGGCCATAATTGGATAATTCTATAGAACGGTTGGCCTTAGCTTACACGAAATAGTGGTTATATAAATTTCAAAAACTTCATTTCTCTACAAACATTTGATTTAAAAACAAGTTTCTTTTTCACTCTCGCCTATCGTAAAAAAGTGAAAGAAACAAAATCTTTTGTGTAGATTAAATGGCTAGTAGAATACAAAAGAACAAGAATATATTAGATTTATGGTAATTAAAAACTTTTGAAAACTGAGAACTATCAAATTACAATTATTACGAAAAAAAAAGAAATACCATTACGTACCATTCAGATTTCATATGTGTTTCATCAATAGCTCGAATAACGTGATCAATACTAGCATCATCATCATGATCCTTTTTGACCAATTGAAGTAGATGGCGCATAGGTACATCATAAAGCATTTTAGATGTAGCATCAAGTAAAACAAATGAAAGTGGTCCGTCATCATTCATACCACCTAGTCCTCCTCCTCCTCCTCCTCCACCTCCTATATAAGTTGTTGTTAGACTTGATCGTCGATAATGACCTGTCATTGTCGATTTCGATTCACCATAATGTTCATCAAATACAGCTTGTTTTATTCGAAGATTGGGTAAAACACGTCGCGTCCAAATGTTATTGCCACCCATAAGCATCGCTGGAACTGAGCGTGCTTGAATTTCAGTCACATTTGCTCGGTTAACAACAAGATTAACTTCTTGATGTGGTAGTAAAATTTTACATAAGTTATTTGTATTGTTATTATTGTTGTTAAATACAGGTGGTGCAGGCGGCGGAGGAGGAGGAGGCGGTAATCCAACGAAACCATTAGAAGGCGACTGGTTTGATGTCATTTCTATATGGATAGAACAAAAAAAAGAAAATAATGAAGATTTAAATACGAATAAGAATTATTTATTTTAAAAGAAAACTTTACCATTTGTAAAAGTATCATCACTTGGTGAAACGTATTGAATTGTGGTTATTGTCGTCGTCGGAGAGGTCAACATCAGACTTCGCCGTCACTCTCTCACTCAACACAAAATATGATCTTTTATTATCTAAAATACCGAAAAAAATATATAACACTCTTAATTGAAACTAAATAAATATATATATATATATATATACAAAAAACAACTAAACAAATACTAATAACATGAAAATTAGTACTTATAATTTGATTCGTTATGTAAACTAAAAATTCACTAATTGCATATCATTACTTAGCATCAACTACTACTAAAAAACTATAATTTATTGTCTGTCGTCTATTTGGTTAAATGATATAGATATAAACTGAGACTAGTAACAGATTCATCGAGTATTTATACGTATATATATATATATCGAAAGAATTTAGAAGAATAATCTTCCTTCTTCTTCTTCTTCTTCTTCTTCTTCTTGTACGTAAATTCGATTAACAGAGAAAAGAGCGAATAATATAGACTGATAGATCGATAAAACAAATTTATAGACCATATACAATAATAAGTAGGACTGGATAGAAGTCGTCCATTCGATCAATAGAACAAAAGCGACGATAAAGAAAAGATAAATGCAAAGTAAAATCCATAAAGAAAAAACAACTTATATCCAAGTATTATTCTTCGGATTTCAATCTTAATCGAGACAGACCATATATACACTTATAGCTATTTTGAAATGAGAATTGTGAAGTTAGTCGCAATGTTTACATTAAAAGACGGTGACTAAATCAATCCGTTGTGATCTAAATTGTTTTGTATTGATGCTCTCCTTTCTTTTTAACAAATATGTCTCTATTCACTCATCATACCTCTATAGATATGCTAGACATCGTTCTATTTTGTGTTCTCTTTGTTTCTTCATACGATTTTTATTGTTTTTCATCTCGAATGCTCATTTATTCTCTTTTTCTCTCTATGCCAATATACTTACCTGGCACCTCATTCGAAAATGTTACATGCAGACAGGTTGATGATCTAATGTCATCAGATGATAGACAGGCAGCCCGTCATAACATCAAATTGAACTGATAATAGAGTGCGGAGTGCATTGCATCGTGTGTCTGGCATTTTTTATATTGATGTAGATGTATTTATCTATATACACATGTAACTACAAACATCTATATGTAATTATCTGACGTCTCTTTCTCTCTATCTATTCTTGTTCTATTGTTCAATTGCAGTGATGCTCGCCAAAGCGATAAACTACAAACACAAAAAGATACTTCACAATAGCGCGTCAATAAAAAAAGAAAAAATAAGCCGTTGTTCAAAATTGTGTAACATATATGCACGCACGAATAGCGAATCGCTATTAATAAGAAAAAAAGGACGCGGGGTGAGAGTGTGTGTGTGAGAGAGAGGCAGAGAGAGAGAGAGAGAGAGAGAGAGGTGACATTGTAACTATTGGATACTTATCTGTAATGTTAGCATAAAAGCATATACTCGACGAAATAGAAGCGAAATGAGTATATATATATACAATCAGGAGAAGATCAATTATCAGTTATTACTGATCTTTACGATATTCAAGGTTTTAATCATCTTTTTCTCTTAGGACAATCGATATGAATACTATGGAAAAATAAATGTATACAGTATAAAGTGAAAAAATGAAACGGCACGACCCTGAGTTTGTCTATGTCAATTTACACACGGCAAATTCATTAAAACGACTGAAATAGTACTGTACGGCCTCTCCTTATACTAAAGGAGAATAACATGTAAAAAAAAACAGCACGTTGAGACACTATCCGTTCTCACTATTGTATATACATATTGACATGGTACACTATAAATTAGTAAATAGAACCAGTAATTTATTTACTATCAGCCAAGGTTAATTTCTATTCTTCAGTGAAGTTTGATATGTGTATATACATAATTCGATTTTTACATATCTAGTGAATATACAAACTTCAAGTTGTTTAGCATAAGTAATGCAAAAGAACAAAAGAAAGATTCATTTGATGAGGAATCAATTTCAAAAGCAATCCCTTTCTCTTCTTTTTTGTCTTATTGATCTAAAGACATTTACTCACTCACTCGCACATATACATACATACACATATATATATATACATGCTGTCTGAGGAGACAATCAAAAAAATGAACTGTCTCAATTACCATTTCAAGTAAAATCGAATGTTAAAATCTTGTGATCTAACAAAGCCTTAAGACATACTCATACATAGAGTGTGAGCTACATCTGCATGTACATAAGTCTCTCTTTTCTCATGCTTCTTTTTCGTCATCTTTTTCTTTTAACTTGCATCCTAAGTCTCCCCCCCCTCTCTCTCTCTCTCTGCCCTGTTCTCGATTTCGACACTTTCAATGTTCATACTGACGCAATTTATGTTTGCTAGCCAATACACGTAATTCTTCATCATTTCTTTGCCTTTAAATGTATAGTTATGATGACGATGGTGACACATTGAACGTCGCCATCGATGATCATGTACAATTGATTGTTCGATGCTTAATTGTATTGCGCTACATAACGACCACTACCATCGCATTGCGGTCTTCATAGTTTTTCTTCTTTTTTGAACAGAACACGCAAGAACCTATATAAGTTGATGATCGATCGTTTATGATGGGAAGAGATGGGAAGAGGGTGGGTAAAATAACTGATTTTCACATTCGTCATAGGTATTTTCTTTTGACAGTAACATTCAATCGTTTAAATATTCATTCGCATGTACAAACACACGTTTAATGTCCATTTTTTTAAAAAAGCAAAATAGATTTCTATATATGTATTAGCATATACATAACAAACAAAAGAATGAAAATGAAAATCATCTGTGTGTGTAGGTGTGTGTGTGTGTGTGTGTTTGTGGTCGCCTTCGAAGTTCATATTTATAAAATCAAGACAAGATAAAGTTTGACGTAATCATCAACATTAGAATATATAAATATATCAAACTTTATTGAAAGTATTATTTTATACTATGAACAAAATAGATCCTAACTTGTTGATCAAAGATGACATTTATTCTCTTTATACTTTAAGTTTTATCTATTTACATATTAAATTCACCTTCAAACATCTATATGTGCGAAACTCTCACTGGGATGACTAGTTTGATAATCCGTTCATAGGCTTGAAGCTTTAAAAGTATATATATATATATATATATATATGTATGTGCATATAACTAACTACATCGCATAAGATGCACATTTACCAATGATGAATATGAGCAAAATATATAAGGTGAGGGACAATTACGTCGTTTTTCTTTCTTATATTGCGAGTGACCTTTCTGCGAGCCATCATCGAAACGAAAGAAGACTGTTGAACGCATCGCTCAAGAGTATTCATCTACTTACCTGCTCTTTGCGTGTCATGTTATGCACATTTAGTGAGGACCATTATCACCATCATCAAATGAAAAAGACAAGCACGTCTTTTTTTTCTCCTTTTTTCTTTTCAACTAGTTCCCATGAGCATATTTACTTTAATATAAATACAAGAAAGCTTACCATTTAACTAAAGACATCAATTATGATGATACTAACACATTGTAATAATGATATGATGTAATCGAGAGGGAAAAAATGAAGATGACCGCTAGTTGTCCTTTTTAACTTTCTTTTCTTCTTTTTTTTATCGCTTGGATGGACACATATATCCCATCCTACGATTAATCTAACCCTCAAGGTTTAATGCTATTTATATTGTCATTAGTTCAAAAAGGAGAAACGAAGAAGAATACGATCTTGCACCATCATTTTATTTAATAAGACGAAAATGAGACACTGGTTGATCGATTATTCTTTCTTGTTTTATTGTCATTCCATGTAGCTATATCAAATGTTTGCGATTGATCAACAATTAATGATATTGAAATGTTACAACAAGGACATGTAAACTCTCATATTACGAATACAAAAAAAAACAGATGAGACAGGTTGACCATGAAATCAAATAAAATTCTAGCCTCAAAATACTTCCTACTATTTCATTAGGTTTTCTTTCATTTTCTTTATTTGAAAAAAAAAGATTTCTCCTCTCCAAAAAAAGAAGACATGTTATGTATTCAAGTATTTTTCTTCTCAAAGATTGTAGACAACATTGAAACAGCTTAACTTGATCATTAGATATTTATTCATTTCATTTAAAGATTAATGAAGAAAAAAAAACACGGTAATCACTTATTTATATTTATGTATATATTTGTTAGTTACAATCAAAACAAAAAAAGATTACAAATAGAGGATAAATATACGTGTTCTACACACAACGACGATGTTCAAACATCAATTAAGAGCAACAACAAGAGAAAACGTTCCTTTTATTAATATCAAATAAAAACTTGACCAAGACTTAATTCAGCACTAAATGGGCCGATTACATGAACAGTCGAAAAATATAAGATAAGTCCAAATGCAATCGATATAGGTAAAGCTGGTAGCGCTTTACGAAAAATTGCTAATAAAAGTAATGTCAGACATAAACCCTAGAAAACAAAACATATTATTTAAACAGAATAAAATCATAAATTTTTCTTTTTTCTACTAACAATCAATAATGAAACATAACATGCTATGGTTACATTCCAATCGCCAAGTGCTGATGCTTTTGCTAATAGAATTGAATAGAATATAAAATCACCTAAGCCAAGTTTAACACCTTCTACAAAATTTAAACAACGAAAATAATTCATGAAAATAAAAGTTGTAATCAATTTGAACTTACTTTCATCATCATCATCATCGTTAATGACAGGTGAATTTGATCGTTCAACAACATATCTGGCTGGTTCTTGTCGCCGTTCAGTTTCTGGTACATCAGATCGAGGAATAAGTTGACGTCGTGCATTACTGTTTCTTATTTCTGCACGTTGGGCTCTTTGCTCTTCACTTAATGGTTCATCAACATTAACTAAATCAAACGTCTTTTTTTTACAAAAATGACGAAAAGAAATTTCTCTGCTTACCAGCAATACTATTTGTATTAATACTATCTGGTGAAAATTGTGGTTCACCAGGAGGATCCACGGCTGTTACCATATAAACCATTGTAGCTAAAAAGTTAAACAATTAATTTAAAGAGAAACAATAGTGAACAGATTTACATGAATAGATTAATGCTGGAAATATCGGTTCACCACGTTCTTGTGCTGTTTCAACTAAAATACGTAGTGGACCTCTTGGACACAGAACAGCGATTAGATCTAAAATAGATATCAATAGAAAATTAGTTTTCAGAGATAAACTTAAGTTTTTCCTTCAAATTACCCCATATTGATATAACACCAAGAATTAGCCAACCTGTCCATTCCGGTAGAAATTTATAGAAAACAAGTGCCAAAAGAGCCGACATAAGAATTAAATAAGCTTGCTGGATACGTAAAGGACCTTTCCAATGTATACAAAACATACCAACAACACCTATATTCCATGTTACAAAACATATTGTGATCATATCAATCGGCCGATTCAATGATGCTGATATGCTACTACAAAAATTAAAAACATAAATCCATGATTTTTGTTCGATTTGAACGCAATCGAACTACAAACCTTAAATATGAATATAGAAAAAAGAAGAGTAACATCAATGTTGTTAAAATCAACCATCCATGAATGATCTAAACAGAAATATTTTAATTTGTTTCAAATTCTCGTTTAGCTAGTTGTTAACTTTAATTTAAAATATCCTGTTGACTCACATCTAGTAAAAGAAATAATCTTCTTATAAGGATTTATTAAATTTTGTTTTTAAATTGTAACTTCGGATTATGTCAAAATAGTCTCAATAACTCTGTGATAATTACAGGTTTTGATTTTTCAGAAATCTCCCTTCAATAAAACATCGATGATGTTTCGATTAGAAATATGTTTATACAAAGAAATTTCCTAATTATTCAGTTCACTATTGAGATTTTAGGCAAATGTGTTGTACTGCAGATTCTATATTGTTATCATTTTTCTAAAATAATCTCAATCGGTTAAATAGAATAGTGCATATCAACTATTTTCAATAAATACTCAACAATACCTTGTAACATTTAAATTTATACAATAGAATTAAAATAACAGTAGCTGTAATAACGAAACCCATGAAAATAAATGTATTTGCCAATGAAAATAAAATTCTTTGTGTATTTGTTTGTTTATCTTCGGTGAATGGTGTATAACTAAAATAATGCAAATCATTTCCAATCTTTTTACTAAACTCTTTAAAATATTTTCTTACGCCCATGTAGCACCACCAGGTGTATATGAACCTTGAAAAAAATTCAAAAGATTTATGATACAGTTTTTCTTAATTGGATAATTAACTAACTTGTCGTTTTAATTGTTAGAATAACAATTAGCATACATAACGATACCGGTACAAATAATTTTACAACGTGACTTGCTCCTACAAAATGAAACTAGTTTTATTTTTTATTTGAATGTATAATAAGAAAACAGACCATATTTAAAAATTTCTTCATGTTCATTATTTAATGGTCTTTGTTCTTCGGGTTGTCCATCTCGCCGATGTCTTCGAGTATGGTCTCGATCCTGTGAATCGATGACTTCAACTGGCGAATTAGAAGAAGCCCCTGCAGCATCCGATGAAATGTTTTCCGCATTTGCTGATGTCTATTAAAAAAAAGTTCAAAATCGATATTTTAGAGAAACTTTTATAAAGCATGTATTTAGATTAAAAGAGAAACTAAAAAGCAAATCTAACCTGTATTATTGCTACAGCAGGTAAATTAGTAATATCTGGTCTCTGTTGATTAATAAAATTTGTTAGAAAAAAAAGACAAACAATAATTTGTTAGTTAATTTCAATACCTCACGGCCATCGATAACTGTATCGTCGCCTTGAGATTTCAACAATTCGGTCATTTCGTCAGAGGAATCTTGACTATCGTCGATCAAACGGCGCATGTAGCCATGATAGTAAAAAGTAAAAACTCTGATACAAAAAAGGACTAATATTTATTTTAGTTTCTGTTCATCTATTGGTTAGTTAGTAATTCATTTTTAAATACAACTAGCGACACATAGAAGAAAATGCGATATACAGATAAAGGAAATCTTTTTTTTCAAAATGTAAACCAATGAAAAAGAAAACAAACTTAAGTGTTTGTTTTCTAGATTTAGTTCACTCGATTCGAGGAGAGCTGCGGCACTAGCCACCCTCAAGATAGTTTGAGTTCACTCAATCAGCTTTTTTCTTCATTTACATGATTGTTTTTCTGACCGTGCCTAAAAAGTTTTCAATCATGAAGTATGAAAGTTGAACAATAGCCAAGTCTGTCAGCGTTAAATTGCTATAGAATTGGTTACTAAAAAAATAACTTTGTACGGATAACTCCCTCATCGAGTATTCTCCCGTATATCTTTCACTTGAATGTCGTATCTCTACATTTAATTAGAGATAAATTCTATTTCTTTAATCTACCCATGTGGATAGATCTTGAAGAAATAGAAAACAACTGACATCGAAAGATAATTTTAACAAAACTAACTCCGCCTAGTTTAGCGTAGCGGCGGGACTTTTAAATCTCGGTTTTCGCTGTTGAACTATGGAGTAGAACATCAAATGGGAGAAGCGATAGAATCGCGAATAATAAAAGCGCAATATATGACGGCAATCAATTAGATTATTTGATTGAAATAACGGCATAAAAAGCGCGACAAAATCAGACATATAGCATGAATTTCGGGTGTGTGTGTGTGTGTGTGTGGAAGATGCAATTTATAATGATAGTTATGATATGTAATTATGAAGTTAATTTTACATTAATGAGAGTACAATGAGTGGATTCAATTTTTCCATTTTCAAGTGAGGAATGAATAAGCACAAATAAGAATTCAATAATGATATAATCATGACTGTCGTCTATCACCATGTCTTTGCAACACACTTTAATTCAAAGTCTTTATAACAAAAATATAATTTAATTTTTTTATCTATAAAACAAATAGACGAACTGACATAGATCAAATATTTGTTTTTATCAAATTCATCATCGTCGTTCTTTTATATATTGATACACATACTAAGGCTATTCATCTAAAATCAACACAAATAAAGATAACTAGTCTCGGTTCATTGTATTCATAATTTCAAAAATTTTATTCATATTTGACTGCTTTTTAATACATAAAAAGAAATAATAATGAATGAGTACTAGAACTTATAAGATAGATCTCTAGTTAGAGATTTGAAAGAGTTTGAAGATTTCGAGTTCATTAGAACTGATTCAATGGATACTATTTTGATTATAAGATAAAATTAGCAATCTACTTTTGTATGATCTCCTGTCTAAACTCTACGATAAACATGCCGGATGGCTAATCAACAAGTCTATAAATCATTGAGAAGAGTATCGCGTTTCTGTAGAATAATTATCTAAATTTAGATTGAAATTTTATATTAAGAATTTAAAGACTTATGTTTTGGCACTCATTCAAAGCGGTAAACCTGGCGGTTTCTTCTTATTAGATATATTACAGATTTAACGAAATTAAAAAGAAAGAGAAGGATATAAAATGTCTGTAAAAAAAAACGTAGCCGCTGGTTTTAGTGAAACTTCTACATAGCCTACCGATCTAATTATTAGCTATATAATGAGCTCGTATATTGTTTTGAACATCGACTAAGATCTAATTGTAAAGTTTTATAGAAAATGATTGATTCTCTATCGTATTAATCGTTTTAATGTTGAAAAGCAATTATGCATGTAGCATCAATATATGTTCTTAATCAAATTGTCCACTGTGTTGATAAGAAAAACGTCTCGTTGGTGATATTTGTAAAAAAATTAGTAGATAAATTACGCGATTCAGTTTAGTGAGATTTCGAAATGAAAAGTACAAATAAGCAATTAGATTTAGACACTAAAATCAGGTTCAGATTATTTTCTCATGCCAACATTTCGTGCATGAATCTTTCTGTTATAGAATTGCAAATGAGATTTAGTTTAGAAGTATTGCAATCCCAGTTTGCATCCGATTCACGTATGGAATGTAATGCGATTTATGTAATTTTATAGAAAAAGTGACTAACAATCGTTTCTGTGACCAAGATTCAACACAGAAATGCAAAAGACGTTGCCAATTAGTTAATATAATGAGTAAGTCATGTAACAATCGGATCGTTTCATATGTCTTCATTTAACGTTTTATTATCGAATAAAAATGAATTGAATGAACAAAACAGAATCGACGGTAAAGTTGTGTTCTAGCGAGTTAGTTACTTGTATAGTCTGTCAGTAGCAGAGTCTTCCATATAGAGAATTCTGAGAAAAAAGCCAAAAGAAGCCAATCAAAATCAGACAAGAACACGCACAAGAAGGAACGTTAAGGCAGATACATTGGGAACTGACATTTTTTTTGTTACTTGAAAGTGTTTTGTCAAAAGTAGCTTTCAAACCAGACGTCCCGAAGGCGTATCAAGAGCACATACTTAAGTTCAGATCGGGTGAGTGAAGGGAAGAGTGGAGTTTACAAAAAACAAAGATTGGGAATTCGACGATCCAGATGAATGACATCTTAGCTATAATGATTTTTGCGGTATAATATTATGCGTTTTTAGCAATCATGAATATTCATGTCAACATTTTCTGGGATTTATTTTGATTACTTATATGGTTTTTCAAAAAATCAATTTTGTGTTAAAATCGGTAGTTTTTATTGGATTCAACATTCGAAGACAATGCAAAAGCAAAGAAAACAATTTATTCACAACAAGAAAACGCTAAGAAATTCAAAGGATTTCTCTTATAAAAAGTAGCAAAATTTATTCAATACGGTTTCATCTTTTGGATAGCTTATTCTTTGTTAAATATAATTTCTGATATGCATAGTACGACAATTTGAAAGACTAAATCCTCATGATTACTTCGAACTACTTAATTAAAATTGTCTACTGTGATTTTTATAAAATTTTATTTTATTTCAATTTATTAGGCAATACTGAATGTTTTTCTCATGAAATGCACATGAGGATGCTCTCTACGAAAGAAAACCTCTTGTTGGCTGGTATGGATGAGATACTCCGAGTCAGTTATTTCTGACTTTTGTCTATTTTTAAATCTTGAATTGAACTAATATCAAGTATTCAAAATCATTGAAGCTTACAGGTAAGCAGCATTTTGATAAAACATGGAGAATTTCTCTTCTCAGTTCACTCGAATGCACTAATCTTTCTGACTATTTTCAAAATCTTAATTAAACTACTGTTTCATGTGGATGACATAAACACATACGACTGCAAAATTTGATTTTTCAGTGTGATGAAAGCAATATTATCTATTCATAAATAAGAAAATTCGTTTCAAAGATCATGAAAGGATGGAATAAAAGGAGAATAAGTGAAACATTATATCAATGTATATGATATAGGGAAACTCGAAACAATTAAATACTTAAATTCATATCTCGGAGTTAAAAAGGTCATTTATTTAGGTATCTGAATACCTTGCTATTAATTAGTCGTTTAATTCAAAACTAACTGAACAGATCAAAGAATACTACAGATACATTCATAGAACATCATTTTACAAAGGCTATTTTGATCTTTTCTAAATCAAATCTTCGATGAGAAATAAAAATAATCTATGGAATAATTTTTCCTAATTGTCAATTGGCGAAGGTTTTCTACTCATCATCAACCGTTTAACTTATTTCAGTGAATCGAAGTGAAGATATTTTAATTTTTTTTATCGCAATTCTATTTATGATTATTATTAAAGAAAATCAATTGTGTAATTATTAAATGAAAAATTTTGATAAGAAATATACGTATAATTTTTCTACTGAAGAAAGTTATTTTAATATTTACTATCTTATTCTTGGTATTTTATCATTGCACTGAATCAACATTCACATTCGATGAAAATATTTTTCAGCTAGATATGATATCTCGTTGTTTTATGAATCATTGATCCTCTTTTCTCAAATTTTTTGAAATTAAAATTTTTTGACATGACAGTTTAGTGATAAAATTAAAATCAAAAATGATATGTTTTATCTTTATTGTTCAAGATTCAAATTAAATTTTAACTTGGAATAACAAACAGTATTTGAAGAAAAATCAAATATCTATCTATACTCGAAATAATCAATCATGCACAAAACTACAGCTTGATGCTTTAATAAATCGCTTTTGGTTTTAAATACACGTGAATCATATGCATACACATCCACCCATAATTTCATCTAGTTTGCTTGCTTCTCTCTCTCTCTTTCTCGTTCACTACAATAAAATGATGGCAGTAGATATTATTATGATGTAGATATTAAATCATATTAATGCCATTTTAATCATATGATAAATAAAGTATATATGTGTTTTTTGGTATCCATGAAAGACTATAATTACTAATATTATATTTGATTAGGTTCTCCAGGAGATATCTACTTGAAATAAGAAACGTTCCATTTTGAAACCAAAGAGATATGTATTATTTTCTGAAAGTTATAAAAATCTTCACAAATTATTATGTAATTATGTGTTTAGAAATAGCTAACTGTCGAAGGTGCAGATTTTGATCAAAACATACTTTTCGTTATGCAAGCAAAATACGACAAGTATTCGAATATGTAAAAGAAACGTATAAAATAAATGAATCAGACTGTGTTATTATTAATGGGCGTCGTTAATACTTTAGAAATGAAGTACTTTCCTGAATTATTGTTTTTCCGATGTTTAATGAGTCATATTCTCTTGAGTTGTTGTTGAACTCGTATTAATTATTTAAAACGAATGAAACAACTGTTAGCAATTGTGTATAACAATATGAAACTATACATTTTGAATTTCATATGACAATATATACGAACATAACTTGAAAAGTCACTGTTTAGCAGAGATTTCTGCTTGAGGATTAGAATTTTTATTTACGAATCTGATATTTTTTTTCCTTTAGCTGAAAACCTATCTTTGGTGAATTGTCTCTGTCTCTTTGTGTTTTGTCAATAAAGATTATCTTTCCTGAAAAAGTCATTCTATTTTTCTGTATTTGCAACTTCGTAAAAGTATCTAAAGCGTAATATAAAACAAAATGATTTATAAATTATGAACTTCATGAAGTCTGTAAGGAGTATCTAACGAATTAGAACAATTTTAGAGGAAAACAACAACAAACAGAAACGTGACAGGTTTTCATCAACATATTATCCTCACTGAAAAGCTTCAATCTTCATTAATTTATAGAAAATAAGTATTTAACTCTTCTCATCGCACTATTACTCTAACTTTGATAACATGGTAAAATCTCAAATTAGTATGAAAAAGATTTGTTCCTTACTTCATTTTATTGTGATTGTAAATTCACAATAAAAAAATAACGCTTTGTATGTCTATTATGGAAAATCCCTCAGCTATGAAGCATTTAAATAGACGATTTCACGCACAATAGAATGCAAATAAAACAAAAGAAAAAAGAAAAAATATTAGTATTTGTTGTTTTACGCTCACGCCAGTTCTTTGCCAGTAATATGGAGAAAACAAAATAGATAACAACAATAATAGGTGTTAAATAGGTACTGCATTCTTTTCTATGTTATCATAAACAAAAATCATTGAAAAAGAAGCTAAAAGGTTTGTGTTTTATTTTTTTTTGTTGGGTTATCACTAGTCTACTATTATCTGTTACACATTTTATTTTAATGGCAATATCTAGTAAAATATCTAATTGAGAAATGAACCGTCAATTGTTTTTGCTTTCTTTTTGATTAGCAGTACTCAATTAAGTAAAAAAGAGGATTTGATCATGTCAATAAGTGTATTTTTATCTAAGATAATATAATTAAAAAAAAGAAGGAACGCCAACTAATAAAATAAAATAATTCTTTCTATTTAATTTCTTTTTATATTCCAAAATGTACTTGACGGATAATTTTATAATTAAAGACGTGTTCAACTAGAAAGTCGGTAGAAAGTCAAAAACTTATTGCAGAAAATACTTTTATTTTAGTTTGCTACCAACCAGAAGAAAAGCTGATTAAACTAATCAATTATCGTTGAGATTTTCAACGCAAAATGTTTCCACGTCACTGTTTACCATAGACGCAGATAAGAATGGTAAAATTTATTTTTTTTTATCAACAGTTTCTATGAGATTTTAATAAATCTTTTTGCATATATTATTATATTTTCAGAGAAAAAATGCCGAGAATCCATTTTCTAATCGGGGGACTTGACTTTATCAGTTTACAGTGCAAAATCTAATGGCAAAAAATCGATCGTTCGATTTTATCGATAAAGACATTTAGATAAGGGAATGTTTTTCATTTTCACAAACAATAAATCATATAATTTATACATGTATCCATGAAATAAATGACATCTAGACCGCAAAAGTCAATTAGCAAGTTTTTGTACTATGACACGCAATTATGTCAACGTAAATCCCTGTTTGAGAACTGTTTCAGAAGGACAATTGCTCACGTGTTGATCGAACTATATGCATGAAATTTTCCCACACACATTCATTAATAGAATGAAATCAGAAAGAAAGCAAAGAAAAACATTGATCAAATAAATTCGTAATTTTTATTGGAATTTTTTTGGAAAAAAATGTAAAGTGAACTTTCATTAGAAGTTATTTTTATTTGTCAATGCCACCTAAAAGTATTTGTTTCTAACGTACATATATAAATTCACAAAATAACGAAATAAATATTGTCTACAAGATCTTACTAAAGAGAATGTATCAATTCTAAACTTCCTATTCGATGAATGTGTCTTTTCTTCTTTTCTCCTCATGTTACTGAGTCTGCAAAAAAAATATTATAAATTTAGTTTGAAAGAAAAAAAAGAATATTCCTATCGGAGCGTAAAAACTGCTGTTTCTAGAATTTCCTAATTGGTGAATTATGATGTTTGATATGTCGTTGCATTAGTTTTACATTCAATATTACAGCATTAGGTTCGGAAAGAACCGAAGTAAAAAATTTTATTATATGAAAATAATAGAGCAGAATACTGAAGTTCTATCAAATATTGTATTAAAGATTGAATTACTACTCTGAGATTTACTGGATTTATTTATATTATTAAGTCTTTCGAAGAGAACTTTTCATTTTACAGAATCATAGATTAACTTTATAAATGACAAAAATATATATTTTAATTTCTTTTCATGGCATATTGCATAATTGAAAAATCCAATTTTCCAAATGAAAATGTTTTTTTATACTGTTTTTAATTTTCATCTATCAGAATGTCTAATTTACATATCTATAAAAAGATTTAAAGAGCAGTGAATAGAATTCTCTTAATTAAAGGAAAAAATATTCAAAATGAAACTTTATTCTTTCAATTAATCACATAAAATAAATACGTTGAATATTCAATAATATAATCTATTTCTGTTTATAAATCAATGATGAAAATAGAAAATGTTCCTATTTAATAAAGTTTGATATAATCATCACAATATCTTCAGAGAGGGAAAAAAACTTTTTTTTATTAGTATTTTTTCTTTCGTTCTTTTTTGCGATCGTCAATCAGAACAGGACGGCTCTACAAATAATACTTTTTGCATCTCTTTTTTTCTCTCTTTCTATCAAGCAAAATCTCCATTATTTTATCGCACTTAGCTGTGTCACGTCGAACTTAGCCTAGCTACTACATTATATTACTCTCCACTGGCATTTTTCTATATCACTCGTCGAGTAAGGAACTTAAAAACAATTTATCGTTCTTATAGCATCGTAACATATCCAATATCCAGTATATTGTTGATCTGAAATTCGCGTATCAGATACGGAAATCCATTTGGTTTTCGTTGATAATATTAGTCATTTTCATTTAAAATAAAAATTTACATAGCATACGCCATTAACAATTATATTGAAATACAAACAAATAGTTATTCGAACATTTTTCTGCATATATATATATATATATATACGAAAAAATATATTTACATTTTCTGTCTTATTCTTATTTCGACAAAAACTGGATTATTATGTAAGTAATTCGAATATATATATATATATATTCTTTTTTTTACTGCTTCATTCATTCGGAAAAGTGCATCTAAGTTCAGATACTGTTACATACAGATCTAAAAGATTTTCATCCTTCTGCAGTACATAAAGTGCGCTCGGGCAAAAGTACCTATGCCCTTTTCAAATATATCCGTCCCCTTTTTTTTATTGTTGTTACATTTGATAAAGAAAAAAAAGAAGGAACAAAATTATATACTGTATTATATTAAATATTTAAATTAATTGAATAAAAAGGACAAAAGTCCAAAACAAAAGGAACGTAATTCAGATTACTTATCAGGGCACCTAGTGACCTTAAGGTCCTTACCAAGCGTTCTTTCCTCCGAGTTCTTTTTTTCCTTAGCTCTTATTTCTACTGTCGTTCTGTAACCGGTTTTGTTTTTTTCTTCCTTTCTTTTCTTTATTCTTTTTCGTCGTCTCTGTTTGTGCTCTCTTCGTACATCCAACACAGGAGGTATCCTTGTATGCGTGCGATTGCACACACACACACATAGAAACAACATCAACCTTTCGCGATGGCGAATAAAGAAGGGAATGTAAGTAATAATATTTAAGAATAAGAAAAATTGAGACAAAAACGGCAAGTTTTTCTATGCTGATTTTATGTAGTCAATGATTTTTAATCATGGAGCATCACAAAAATTAGAATTTTGTTTTAATAATCACTTTATTACTCGGCAAAAAAATGATATAGATAAAGACATGCCTCTTTTTTTTCTTTCTTTCATCACAATAACAAAGTTTTGCAGTTTATTGCAAAGATACTTATGAGAATACTTAACATTTTCTTATTTATATTTTATTTGAATAAAAAAGGTGTGCGCTTTTTTTTAAACAAATAACGTATCCAATCGAATGTTTCTTTTCAGGTACATATCTACCAGTTCCTTTTGAATCTTTTTTTACAAACAATAATTTTCAAACGACGTCATTTTGTTAATGTAAAGACCATGGAGTAAACAAACAAGGTCTCTATAAAAATAAATTAGAAGTCGGTTAATGGTTGTCGTTTAGATGAATCTTAAAAACTACCAATAATTAAAAAAAGTGCTACGGAATGGCAAGCAAAATAAATATATGTGACGGATCTTGGTACTAACACAGCCACACAAAATAGTCATGCAAAACTGGCTACTGTTTCGAATTTTCCCTTATAAATATAATAGATACCCTTGAAGATAGAGAAAAAAAACACTTATCAATGTTTAAATATCTAAAGAGGAACTTTTACACGGCTATTGTAAATCACAATGAATTTTATGCAAGAATTCTCTCTAAGTCTACCATCTTTGTGATTCATCATATTTAATTCAGAGTTAAATTACGATAGTTTAATGAGAAATAGTTGAAACTACTTATAATACATTGATGTTGAGATGTAATCTAATCAAACTTTTCTTTCTGTTTATATGAGGTTAGCCGTCACCAGGTGCACCTCAAAGTCGTAAACGACGGCTTCGTGTTTCAGCAGAGATGTATACATCCAATCCGTCGACAGATACGTCAACATCTTTTAATGCAAAGAATACAAATAACCAACCAAGAAAAAAATCTGATCTTTCCTGTGTCGGTAAATTATTTTCATGTCTTTTCCATATTTTCAGTTTTCGAGATCAAATACAACATAGAAAGTCTTATCTTTTACTTTTATTATTCATAGTAGAATATCTTTTCTTGAAGAACGAAATATTTTCTTTGCTTGAAATAATTCTATTTTTTTCTCTTTTAATTGATCTTAATAATTTCTTCTTTTTATTAAATATCCATATTTATTTCAATAATGCAAAAGAAAGCTTATTTCTCATTATTTTGAATAGTATAGATAATTATTCACCAAGCATAAATAACCATGGTGACAACATTGCAAAGAATAATGTTCTTAGAAGAAAACATTTCTCTTATTCATGTTTTTAGCATGTCAAATAATACCCCCGCATTTGAAGAGACACAAAACTGAAACAGACTCTAGAAATTCAAAACAAAAAAGGAAATTATACGCCCTCGCAAATGCTCTTCTTATAACAATTTGACAAAGAAATGTTTTTATTTATTCTTTTATAAAATATAGTTTGTTGTGGTTCAGCACATGGGTACAATTTTGATGCAATATCATGTGAATCTTGTAAAGCATTTTTTCGAAGAAATGCTCTTCTTAATACGGTATAATTGAAAATAAAAATGAAACAGCATTTAATTTTATTTTTTTCAAATATTTATATGATTAAGGAGCGCTTAAAATGCCGTCGTGATGGTTGTTGCGAAATAACATTAGAAACACGACGACGATGCAAGTCATGTCGATTAAAAAAATGCTTTACCGTTGGTATGATCCTTCGTCATTTTTATTTTTGACGCGTTTATTATTTGTCAATAAATAAATTTTTTAAATAGGGATGCGCAAAGAATGGATATTAACTGAAGAAGAAAAGGTAAATAAAAAACGTCGTATTGAAGAAAATAGACGACTTCGTTTAACCAATGTGGATGAAACATTATTGTCACCAAATGCAATTTCAAAAGAACGTATGGATATAACTGAAAAGCAAGATTTAGATTTACAGACTGTAGTACTCAATAAAAATCCAGCATATCCAGTAAAAACAGCACCAATTGTACGAACCAATGACTTTTTTGACTATGTAATTACTGCTTTTAATGATGGATTTAAATTAAATCCGACTGCTAGTTATGGTTGGTCGTATCCATTGGCAAAGAAAATTACTGCTTTATATCAGATACTTCAAACAAAAAATACTACAGCACTTCGGCTGATTAGCTTTTTCAAACGATTATCAGAATTCGATACTCTTAACGAAATGGATAAAGTGAATCTTGTAAAAAATAATCTAGCCTCTATTTTCTTCTTTCATGCTGCTCTTGGGTAAGAAAAAAAATGAATAAAAAAAGATTTAGTTATTCTTCTTATTCTTTTTCTTATCATAGATATGATCCAATCAATGACATTTATCATGAAGGCATTCTTTCCAATGATACACTTCTCTATGGCAGCGATATTCGTGAAGCACATGGAAATAATATTCATGTACGCTGTATTTTAATAATGCGTTCATTGAGCTCAATAGTTCAAATGGATTCACGAATCATGCAATTAACGCTGGTTATATTTCTTTTTGCGAGACGTCTTTCTAACACGATAAATATCCGAGAGCCACCATTAACTAATCGACAACAGGTATTTGAAGCACAGAATATTTATGTTGAACAATTATGGACATTTTTGGAAAGACATTTTGGAATAGCTCGAACTATTCGTACTTTCACAACACTAATAAGTAAATGTTTACTTATCGATGCACTTTTTCGTGATATTCAACAAGATATACATGAAAATGTAGATCTTAATCATGTACCGTCTATCATGCGGACTCTTATAGATATGTCATAATGGATTCATATAAATGGATATATACATATACACATACATATACATTCGCGGCCTCTCTGAAAAGTTAGTTAGTAAACCATTATGATGATTGTCGTGTTGTTTTTATTTTTATTTTTTGCGTTTTTTGTTTCTATTACTTTGTTTATTATCAGTTTTTCTTTTTCGCTTTTTATTGTTTTGTTGCAAAAAAATAAAATGCTTCTAAACAGTATTTTGTTTTCGATCGCAACAATAATGAATATAAATAAATTACATATGAACACAACATAATGTTAAAAAAACATAAATTCGACAATATTTTTAAATATTCATGTTAATTTATTATGATTACCTCTTTCTTCAGGTGACTTATAATGAACTTCGCTGTTTTTCTTTTTGGAAAAATGAATACGGATGAATATAAGAAAAAAAATGGGAACTATAAGAATATTTCTTTACTTCAAAAAATAAAATATAACGAGGATGTGAACTAGGAAAACGTTTTGAATGAATTACATCAAACTAGTAATTTAGCCAACGATTACTATTCTGCGTATATGTATAGATACATAAACATGTTTGGGATTTATCTTGATGGATAATCGTTCTCCACTAGCACAAAATCATGACTCCTGTGTTCCTGAAAACTACACCAAGCTTGAGGTATTCTTATCAATTTTTATTGAAATACGCGAAAAAGATCGAACAAACTTAACTTACTGAAACAAGATTTTACGTGTTTATCATGTTAACCTTCGTTATCTACGCAGTAGCACACTTCATCTTTCGTCTCCTAATGTTACTAAGCATTATTTTCTTACCTAACGTGTTTAAATCTTTCACAAGAACTTTATTTAGTTAATAATAATAATAATAATAATTATTATTATTATCACATATCACTTTTTCATTGTAATTTTGACTGATAATGTTTTTAGAAAATAAACGTATTGTTTCATACAAAAATTTGAAATAGCGCCATGGTTTTGAGTTTCAAAGAAATGAAAGGTTCACTGGAAAGTTAACAAAAAAAACCATTTATTCAAAGTTCTCACAGGTATAAAGCAAATTGGTTGATTACCAGCACCAGTGCTCTTCCTAGATATAATCTTTGTGTCACCTACTACTAGAAACAAACAAAAGAAAGTTAAAAGATACACTTTCTATTAATATTTCTCATGAAGTTGTAAGTTGTGTTAGAAAGGATCGGCTACTTTCAAGCAGAAAATCTCGAACTACTTCTTTATCTAAAGCATAACATCTGAACACAAGTTATATAATGCAATATCAACTGGAAAGGAATGAATAGATTTGAATTTATTATTAAAAATGTCCTCGAAAAAATTTTCTGTTCAATTTAAGAAAACCATATTCACAAGCATAATATGGAAAACCAGCATTAAGTTCACGATGATAAATCACATAATTTTGAGAATTGAATAAATAAAAAAGAGCATTTGTTTCATATATTCGTTGACGGTCGAGATGAACTTCCTAAAAAATAAAACAACATAAAATATAAAGATTTTCAGATCTTCCTTTTCTCTTCTTACAATTAGAATCTGTCGAATATAAATCTGTGTTCCATTTCGATTCATTTCATTATTAGAAAAAAGTGTATGAAACAATGCATATTCACTAGATTCAATATCGACTTTAAGTATATCTATTTCCAAATTTGTATGATTGAGATCAGCCATCAAGTCACGTAATGTTTTTGTTTTATTTTTACCATCACCTATTGTGAGTTGATGCATTGTACAAACGTCTTTTGGACATTCAAAGCGTCTTTCATCAATGGTATGAATAGAGCAACGAGGTAAACGTTCATGCACGCTTCGTTCAAAAGCAAATTCTCCAGCAGAACCCAAAGAATATACAAGACACGATGGCTTCAATTTCAAATATTCTATATCGCATGCCTAAAATTAAAGAAATTTTAAATTGAATAAAACATCAGATGATTCATGTTTTAAATAAAAAGAACTTAATTAAATATTATTGTGTACTCAAAAAACAAAGTGAGTACACTATAGAATCGGTCAGTGTGTCCGGCCGTTTACACGATAGCTCCTGAAAGGCTGATCCGATTGTCATGAAATTTTGTACACAGCATTATCTCATCAATATCTCGGTCGAGTTCGAAGATGAAAATAATTCGTCGAGGATTTACCGAGTTACATCAAGAAATATCATTATTTTCTATGCAAATATTGACCTATTCCAATTTTCGCAAATCAAAATCTTTGTTATAGTAAAAATGAAAACTCAACTATTATATATCATTCGATAGAGAATTTAGCGGGCTACAAAATGATGCTAAATTATGGGGATAAATATGCTGCGTTTGAAATTCCCTCAATACCTTAGTGGCAAAAAACTATGAAAAACTCACGTATACCGACACTTTGTCTGTATAATATGTGTTTATTTCCCATAGAACTAACGTTGTTTTTATGAAGTAGATGGAACTTGTCAAGAGCTCTAAAGGATGATATATTATAGAGGTAAATATGGTGCATTTAACGTTTCCTCAATATTGCACGTCCTAAAAACTATGAAAAACTCATGTATACTGACACTGCTGGTCGATTCTTTCAGATAGTTTGATCGAAATCAATTTGTCGGTAATTATGTTTCATTTTTTGTGTATTCACAAAACGAAAGTGAGTTCACTATAGAATCGGTCAGTGTGTCCGGCCGTTTACATGACAGCTCCTGAAAGACTGATCCGATTGTCATGAAATTTTGCACACAGAATGATCTCATCAGTATCTCAGTTGAGTTCGAAGATGAGAGGGATCCGTCAAGAAATGGCTGAGTTATCAAAAAATTGTGATTATTGACCAGACCCTCCGGGGGGGGGGGGGGGGACGGGTTTTTTTAAAAAAAAATTTTTTTTTTGGGCGTTTTT